TTAGGAGTAACTCCTCAGCCCTTTTAACTACAGGTCACACATTATCATCCCCCTTTCACATCCAGACACATGAATTGAGCGCTGTTTCTTTAAGGGGGACGAGCGGAGGTTTCCGAACAGGACAAAATGTCTGCGAGGATCCTGGACGGGATCAGCGACACCACACTCCCAGCCCGCCTCCCGCCACGCTCCGGGGATGATGGAGTGAGTGTGGGCCTCCAGGCTCGCTCAACGCGGCCGGCGTGAGGCCGGGGCTCCCAGAGGCCCCGTTGGGGGGTCGCGGTGAGAGGGAGGGGGATGGCAAAGTAGGCTTGGGGACCAGCCCCGGGCCTCGGGGACCGCAGGTGAGCTAGCGAACCGCAAACGCCGCAGCCCTGTGTTATATACTACAGGCTTGCTTGTGCATGGGGTACGGGTCGCGCCCTTCCTTCGCGGTGATCAGGTTGTCCTCATCGTGAAAGATGCATCTGGCCTCAGATTCTGCTTAAAGGCCGCTGTTTAATTTCTTTCAGCACCTCATTTTTGCTCCTTCTCTATAATCTCCCCTCAAAAAAGTTGTCTGGGAATATCGAAAATCATCTGCTCTCTATTAAAATTGCCTTATTTCGGTCAAGACTTTTAACAATGTGCAAGTGATTGGGTGCCCTCTCTCTCTCTCTGAGACTTTCTTAATGTTTCCCACTTTGGGGAGGAAAAACCGGAATGCAAGCCAGATGCTCACACAAGGATCCCTACCCCACCTCCATGGTGCTCAAACAAAAGAACTTTCTGATCCTTTCAGAGTGCTTTGCTACACAGGAACAATTTGCTGTAATTACTCACACTAACCAAATGCCTGAAGCTTACCAAGCAAACTTGCTTTTCTCTCCATGAAAGAAAAACATGAGTACCTGCCACCATCTCATTTGCCCAGACTGCAAAGATAGAGTGTTTAACAGAAACTTACAGAAATAGGGTAATAAATGGACATAATTAGGATGATTATTTTCTGCGCTTTTCATTAATGTTATTTGCACACCCCTTTTGGCCAAAAATAGCCTGAGGCAATACGTAACAAAAAATATTCAACAATGTGTTAAAAAGGCCAAGAGCCAAAACCAGGTAATTCTCCATTTTAAAATCTTTGTGTAAAGCCCTTCGAAATGCAGCTTAAAAGCCCTCTAATTCATATAAAAATTAGGCTTTTCACAGATAAAATGGATTGACACTTTTATTTTTAGGGACATATGTATTAAATAAAGCAATGTAGGCCGGAAATAAAGGTCCATTTTAGGGCAGAACACTTCATAATTTTCATTTCAAGAAATGCATTAAGAGAGAATACGTCTTAGCCTTTTTGCTAATGGTAGAGGTATCTAAGAGTTTAGCTTATGACATTTAAAGAAGATCTCTGATTCACCAGATAAATAGCTGTGGGTCCACCAAAATTTTTACAGTCCGTGTTTAACCTTTTTCCACATATTTTCACTTGACCCTTTATACCCTGACCCAAGTATCCACATTTTACAGTTTGGAGGCATTTTTACTTGCTTTTTCATTTAAGTCTTCAGCCTGGTGATTTCCAGATTAATTTTCCTAATTGTCTGGATCTGTTTATAAATAGATTAATACATGGCAGTAAACTAATATTGCAACAAAGATAGTCAGGTAACATGAATGAATTGTGTTTTCCTTGATACTTAGATTGTCAAGGCTAATTATTTGTTTTAATTATTATGTTATGCTTTGATTTAAGTTACTGGTGGATGAAGTAAATGAAAATCTTTTTAGTGTTTCCATACAAATCTGTGTAGATTTCATATTAATGTGAATTTCTTACCTAAGATCCAGATTCAGCCTATGCGTAATTGTAGCTCTGGCAGATAAATCCTACTGAAGTGATTAGCCTTAATTATGGAAAGACGAATAGAGCTGTAATTTATTTGTTATTCCCTTTTGAGAACATTGCCGGGTTCTCAGGCCTTTAGCCTGCCTAATATTTTGTATGTGTATAAGCATAAGTATAAAATAAGCAAATTAACTTTTATCAGTGGTTTATAGGATGATTCTCAATGTTATAGTCAGTCACACACTGTGTGTATACTCATATTTACACCAATTAATTACTCATCCAGGTTTTGACCTCTTCCCTTATTCTCTGTATTAGTATTCAGGGAGATCATACTGACGAATATAGGTTTTAATCTGATAGGTTATTAGAAGAATAGAACTTCTTCAGAGAGCTTCAAATAGAACTTCAAATGTACAGGTAATTAAATGTATTACCTTCCACAGGCTTAGACTTCTTATCATCTCTTTTGGATAATGGATACTTAATGAAACTCACAGGAGAGTTGAGAGGCGTGGTACCAGCAAAACTACCTTCTCCCTTTCCATGGAATAACTAAAATCTACTATCTTTCCCCTGAAAATGGACTCAAAATTTTCCACTGTTAAATTAATTTCATGCTAGCAGTGATTTTATTTAGTTTTAAGAAATTTTATTTTAAAATATGAGCTTGGAAGTCTAGCTAATCACTAAAGCATTGGAATTGTATGAGTCAGCACTAGTGGTCATGTGTTTTAATGAATTTTGTACCCGGACGGTGGTGGGGAAGGGAAGGGATGCTGAAGTGGCAGTGTCTGCATGAACCTCTCTTAGGGCCCTCGAAGCCCACCCCTCCCCCAGTGTAGATACCGCGTGATGGAATTCACCCTGTGAACCTTTATCATGGGAATCAGAATTATTGCTAGAAGCATCTCTCACCATCAGACTGAGCTTCCAGATGGCAGGAACTAACTAGTGGTTCTCCTGTTGGCCTCCTGGGCAGTAAGCACGTGCCTGACCCTGAGCTGGTGCACAATGAGCATTTGAATGAAAGAGTGGATAGAGTGAACGGATATAAGCAAAATAATCTCAGTCAATGGCACCTTTCTGGTAGTTTAAAAACTGTCTAAGGAAAAAATTAAGGGAGCTCTTTTTATTTTATGCTTGTTAAACTAACCATCCAATTAATGGGTATGAATTTTCATTGGGTATTCAGTAAGGAAGAAATACATATCACAGGGCTGCAGCTAACCAGACCTCCCTGTCATCTACCTGAGTGATAAGCAACATATTTTACTAAATGTCAATTTAGGAAGTGAAAATAAATTTGGCTGGGGAGGGGAGGTGGATCTGTGATTCTTTTTTATTTGCTTTTTGTACTGAAAATCCCCCAGAGAATTCTTCCAACTTAAACTACCTTACTGTACTGAATAATAGGATGTCAAAGAGAAAAATAACACTGCGTTTTGGCCACTAAGATCTTAATGTGGGCATGTTTGAGCAGTAAATAGTGGTAGCTTCTTTTCGTTCATGCCTTGAATTTATATATTGCACTGGAGAGTCCAACAGTGAGATAATTTGCATTATCTGATTTTGGCCACCAGTTTAGAGGCAGATAATCTTATCATTTCCCTTGACAGATGGGATTTGGAGACTCGGGGGAGCTGGCTCTAAGAAACATAAGAATCGGATTCTTTGCATTTATGCAGTGTCCCCTGAGTGCCTGCCCTGAGCCAGGGAGATGAGTGAGGTGGGCTAGTCTCCCACGCATCCTCCATCGCCTGTGAATATCAAATCACCTTCTGCTTGGGCAGGGCATAGCGAACTGCCCAAAACTGAGCAACCCCACACACTGGGTTTCCTCTAGGGCTAGATGGCAGTGTACTGTGCCACACAGGACTATCCCCTCCAGCCTCCATAGTGAAGGCTGCCTAGCCCTCCCTGCCTGAGCTCACACGCCTGAGGACTGTTTCATAAAATTATTTTTTATTTATGTAGAGGTCCTGCCATATACATACTCTACTAAATGTATACACATGATCATGTGCATGCTTTCTTGGTACCTTCTTTCTTTTCCTTTTGCGTTCACCTCTTTCCACATCCTTTCACATCAGCTGCCACCCCCTAAACCCATAATGTGTTTCCTTGCTTCTTTTGCTTTACATATCCTATACAGATCTGTATATTATTTAATAATAATGAGACCGTACACACTTTTCTGCAACTTGCTTTTCTCTCAAGTTCCTCCAGAAATCCCTCAAGGTTATCTGCCACAGCTCCAATCCATCCATTTTTAATGGCTGCATAATATTCCCTGGTGAGACCATATATCACTTACCCAGCCATTCTTCTACTGATGGGCATTCCCTTGTTTCCAGTTTTTGCCATTCTGAGTAATACTGTACTAAAAACATCCTAATACATAAGACTTTACATATTAGTACTTTTAGTTCTACAGAACAGATTCCCAGGAGTGGAATCTCTGATTATATCTATTTTTAATTAACAGAAAATTGCCACATTGCTTTCCCCAAAGCCTTCACATCTCCACTAGTAATGCATGAGTGTACCCTTTTCTCTGCCTCGCTTCTAGCTTCGGCTGACAGACCTCTTCATTTTTGTTACTATGATGGATCTAAAATGAGGCCTTATTGTTACTTTAATAGCACTTCCCTGAATATAAGTGATGCTGTGCATCTTTTCACAAGAGTCCTGGCCATTTGATTTTGCGCTAAGGTCAGCTGCCTACTCATATTTCTTCCCCATTTGTTACTGGGTTGTTTGTCTCTTTCTTTTAAGTTTGTAAGAGCTCTATATGTATTAGAATTGTGGCCAAAGATTCTAAGGCTTCTCTTCCAAGCCAAGATGGTGGACTGGGAGGCTTCTCTTGCTCTGTACTATCGGGCAGTTGAAATGAGCTCAGGGGTTGTTTATCAAAGGTAGGCAGGCCGTTATGACCTGCAGCCATAGACTGCTGGTCACTGTTTAGATATGGAGTCTGAACAGAAGATTGTGTTGAGCCAGAATGTAGCTGTGTGCGGAGGACTGAGAAGGTGAGGCAGTCCTGTACTGTGCTGCCTTCCACTGGTTAAGACCTCCAAGAGCAAAGGCCTACCAAGGCAGAGGATGTCCCTCTTGCCACCCTTGGAGGGGCAGTGCTGTGCTGGCCGACATTTGTGGTGGTGCTTGTCCTTAGCTCAGATGAGACATTCCACTAAGTCTAAATCAGGGCTTCTCACCTTTGTGTCCATCTTAAGTCTTATAACAGATGGGATTCATGTCTGTGGAATGCCACTGGGCATCCCAGATTTTGAAGAACCCCAGAGACATCTTGCAGGGAGGTAAAGCATGACAGTAATTGGTCACCTTTGGCACTTTTAGGGGCACATCAGTAATGATTACTCTTAGGCTTTGGCACAGGTAAGAGAGTGTGTAGGTTATGTGCAATTTTCAACCCCCAGCTCAAAAAAGTATATCAGAATGCAAAGTGACAGTCTTGATAGTATAGAAAAACTTTAAATGTCTCTTTATATATAAAATATAGAGATTCATTATACTATTCTGTCCACTTTTGTGTATGTCCAGTAATAAAAAATTTAAACAATTTAAAAATTAAAAAAAAAAAGCAGCCCTGGAAAGATATGATTCAAATGTAGAAGGAAATGGAATTATAATTTTTTTTTAAATGGGGAAAAAGAAGTGCAGAAAAAAATTAAGGTAAAGATGGATAACAAAAAACATTTCTAAGACTAAAATCTGGTTCTTTTTACTAACGATTAAAAAAGGTATCCTTGAAGGTGGTCTGTCACTCCCCTCCTCATTCCACCACTTCCCACTTTGGGGACTTTAGAGATTTAATAAATCTCTTAGGGAAATGTAGCCCTTAATTTCTGAAGAGCTTTTATACTAATTGGTCATCATGAGCAACCATATTCAAATCAATGCCTATTGTATCAGAAAATATGTAAAATAGCTATTTCTATTGTTAGAAGAGGCCTGGTACTTTTTTACTGATCTGGTAAATTTGTTATCTTTTTCAAAATGTGAGAGATATATTAAATGTCATGCCTGATCCTGAGTGGACTTGCTTGGTTGGAAAAAGAATAATGAGGTTTAGAAAATGGTAATTCATCTGTAACAAGACTATTAGCAATTGAATTAAAATCTTACACTAAATTCTATTGTTATAGCAACTTATTTTTCTTTTTCTCATCTTTGTCTTCAGTCATTCCTAGCTGCATTTAACAAGAAAGATCCTGGAAGTTTATCATCTCATTGCTGCTGATTCAAACCCTGACAATACGAGCAGGCATTGCCTATCTCCCAGGGTATTCTTTTCCCACTTCAGCCTTGATTTCCCCTATGAAATAAGTTCTCAGATGAGCTCCAAAAGTCTATCATGTGGTCTCTTATTATTTTTAAACTTTCAAAGCAAAGTTGTCTAGAATCACACATTTGATTCTTTGTGAAGTTATTTTCTAAACAATAACTTCACCTTTTCTATCCCCTCTTGTTTGATAGATTATTGCAGTGGCAAATTGTTCTCCTAGTAGGAAATATTTTGCAATGACAGTCACTGCGTTGTGTTTGGATACCTTTAATCCAGATATTTTGTTGGACAAAGCAAGAAGCTATTGTTTTTCTTTACTTTTCTTCCTTAATTAAAAGTATTGACCAAGCTATATTTCTTGCAAATATATAGAAGGGTACATTTAGGTGGGATGAGCATTATAGAAAACTAATTTTGTTTTAGGATTCAAGCACCTATGAGAAGGTCTGAAAAAAAGAACACCAGAAGGACACGGTGTTAACCAGTATTTCTAGTATCTGCCTTTAGGGCTTTTTAATTGAATTTCTTTTACTCAGCTACCTGTCCTCTGAATTTACTCCTAGCACTGCTGATGGTCTTCAGAACTCAGGGATCATGCTACAGCGTTTCTACCTGAGAATTTGGGTTGGCTGGAAATGCTGAGGCCCTCAGGATATGGCCCACCATCTAATTTAAAGGTAAAAGTTTAGAAAGCTGCTTTGTATATTGCTACTTCCAAAATGTACAAATTTTAAAAACATTTTAATGGCCTCTAGTACTGTCAATTTTCTCATAAGCACCCTGTTTTTGGGGGTTGGTTTTTTTTAAGATTTTATTGGGGAATTGGGGGAGGGGAACAGCACTGGGGAATCGGGGGAAGGGGAACAGACAAGTGGCTGTCTTTTTGTTCTTTAGTCTAGTTGTGGAGGATGTGGCTTCACTAACCCAAGTTGGCACCATCATTGCGTTCTTCCAGGGTGAGGCAGATCAGTCGCCGGCTTCTGGACCGCCACTCACTGCGGCTGCTGGCCGCTCGCTCATGCTGGCTGCTGGCCGCTCACGCTGGGTGCAGCCTACGCCATCTCTGGCAACTCATGGCAGCCCAGCTCCAGGTTGAGCCGTTGTTCAGCATCTTAGCTGTAGAGGGCAGTGTCACTGGCCCTCATATGTGGGATCTGAACTGGAGTCCTCTGACATCCCAAGCCAGTTCTTAACCAACACGCCACTCGGCCGGCCCATAAACACCCTGTTTTTAAATTGCAAAACAAAGATACTTTTAGCTTGAAAAAAGTACCCTCTTGAAACTATTTTAAAAGGTTTTCACTACTGGCATTTTTGCTCCTAAAGTTAAAGAAACAAATTTTTCATTCCTAAAGCTTTATTTTTTGCTCATCTCTAAAGTTTACTCTGCAACACTGAGAGAAGAATACAAAAGGGACTAGCTGAACAGAAGTCTGCTCTCTAAGGATATAAAGAAAAAGCCACGGCAAGATGGGTAGGAGAGGCAGAAAAACGGAACAGCCAGGTCCCACACCTACAGTGTGACAAAGAATCTTGAAGAGGGCTGGCCGAGTGGTGCGTTGGTTAGGAGCTGGCTTGGGATGCCAGAGGACCCCGGTTCAGATCCACATATGAGGGCCAGTGACATTGCCCTCTACAGCTAAGATGCTGAACAACAGCTCAACCTGGAGCTGGGCTGCAGCCCCTGCTGCAGTGGGTTGCCATGGGCTACCGTGTGTAGCCAGCAGCCAGCGTGAGCGGCCAGCAGCCAGTGTGAGCGGCCGTCCAGAAGCCGGCGACTGATCTGCCTCACCCAGGAAGAGCACAATGATGGTGCCAACTTGGGCCAGTGAAGCAGCGTCCTCCACAACTAGACTGAAGAACAAAAGGACAGCAACTTGTCTGTTCCCCTTCCCCCAATTCCCCAGTGCTGTTCCCATCCCCTAATTCCCCAATAAAAATCTTAAAAAAAAAATAATCTTGAAGAATATCTCAGCTGCGGAGATCCCTCATGAGGAGCAAGGCGTCCCAGCCCCACACTGGGCTCCCCAGCCTGGGGCACTAGTGCCAGAAAGAGGAGTCCGCATAATATCTGGCTGTGAAAACCAGCAGGGATGGCATCTCAGTGGGAAGGAGGGCTGCTATAGACCCAGGTGTCCTCTTAAAAGGCACATGCACAGATTCACTCACTCTGGGCTCCAGTGCAGGTGCAGCAGCTCAGAGAGCACCAGGGACATATAGGGAGAAACTAAATGATTAGCTTCAGAACAAGGGTTGGAGAGACAGGTTGGGGCAGCTCTCTCTAGAATCGAAGTGCTGGCAGATGCCATTGTTCCTTTGTTGAGCACTCTTCCCACCCAGACTGCACATGCAGGTGGGAACCAAATCGGACCTCTCCATTAACCTGGCTAACACTGCTTGCCCTGCCCTGATGATTCCCTGAGACACTGCCACACCTAACTCACGCACCTGGCCCGAGCTACTTCCAGTGGCTTTTCCATGCGAGCGGCCTGCCTCAGCTCATGCTGCTCACTTTCCTAAAATATCGCAAAGATCTACAAACCCCAAACAAGCAGCAGCTGGCCTCAGCATGCCCTGTATCTCTTGCTAAGCAGCCCCAATCCCAGCACAAACAGCAACCAGTCTCATATTGTATTGTAACTCCCATCAGATGGCCCCAAGCCTGACACAAGCTGCAACCAATGTTGACTTGGAATGTAGCTTCAACTAAGTGGCCACAGCCTGCCACAAGTAGCAGCTAGCCTAAGCTCACATTGTATTGCCCACCAAAGGGTCCCAAACCCCGGCACTAGCGGCAGCTGGCCTCAGTTCACAGCACAGCCTCTCCCAAGTGCTTCCAAGCCCAGCACAAGTGGCAACCAACCACAGACCACTTTGTAGCTCCCACCTGGCAGCCCCAAACCTGGCACAAACAGCAGCAGATCTTGGCCTGCACCAAAGCTCCTCCCAAGAGGCTCCAGAACCAACAAACTCCATGGCCAGCTGCACACCACACCAGAGCACCACCCAATCACCTCCACAACCCACACACCCAAAGGGTGGACTCGGCTGGCACCAGAAACCCACTAAAGAAACCCCCTCTCCATGGGGTCAGCCCCCACTCAAGAGCTCATCCACTGTAGTTACAGCCAGCCCTCACAGCCAGTCAGCCTGAAGTTCAATCCCACCCACTGACGTGCCAGCAGCAAACAAGGCTCAAATGCAACAGGAAAGAACATACAACCCATGCAAGAAACACCCCTAGAGCACTGGCTCAGGTGGCCAGGGAGACTGGTACCCACAAGACACCTTCTACATAAGGCCACTCTGGGAGACACAGTTGATCTACCTAATACATAGAAACAAACACAGGGAGTCAGCCAAAGTGAGGAGACAAAGAAACATGTCCCAAATGAAAGCACAGGACAAAACTCCAGAAAAAGAACTAAACAAAATAGAGACAAGTAATCTACCATATACAGAGTTCAAAACACTAGTTATAAGGATACTTGATGAAGTTAGGGAACAGGTAGATGAACTCAGTGAGAACTTCAACAAAGAGATAAAACCATAAAAAGAACCAGTCAGAAATGAAGAATATATTAAAGGGAATCAACAGCAGATTAGATAAAGCAGAGGATCGAATCAGCAGTCTGGAAAACAATGTAGTAGAAAACACCCAATCAAAACAACAAAAAGAAAAAAGAATTTTTAAAAATGAGGATAGTTTAAGGGGCCTCTGAGACAACATCAAGTGTACTAACATTCACATCATATGGGTACCAGAAAAGCGATAACAAGGGATTGAAAACCTATTTGAAGAAATAATGACTGAAAACATCCCTAACCTGGTAAAGGAAATAGACATACAAGTCCAGAAAGTGAAGAGTCCCAAACAAGATGAACCCAAAGAGGCCCACTCCAAGATAATAATTATAATTAAATTAAAACATCATAATTAAAATGCCAAAGGTTAAACACAAAGAGAATCTTAAAAGTAGCAAGAGATAAGCAGTTAGTTACATACAAGGAAGCACCCATAAGACTATCAGCTGATTTCTCAACAGAAACTTTGCAGACCAGGGGGGTTGACACCAAATATTCAAACTAATGAAAAGAAACGACCTACAACCAAGACTACTCTACACAACAGGGCTATCCTTTAGAATTGAAGGAGAGATAAAGAGTTTCCCAGACAAGAAAAAGATAGAGTTCATCACCCCTAACCTAGCATTACAAGAACTGTTAAAAGAACTTTTTTAAGCAAAAAAGGGAAGATTGAAAGTACGAATAAGAAAATGTAGGAAAGAAAAAAATATTTTCACTGACAAAGACATACACTTAGTAAAAGCAGTGGATCAACCAACTAGTACAAAAGTTAAAAGGCAAAAGTAGGAAGATCACGTGTGTTCACAACAGTAAATTAAGGGATATACACAAAAACACAAAAAAGAAGTAAAAAATAATGACAAAAACAAATGTGAAGAGAATGAATAAAAATTATAGTGATGTTAGAATGTGTTCGAACTTAAGCTACCATCATCTTAAAATAGACTGCTATAAACATAGCTTGGAATCTATGATAAGCACATGGTAACTGCAAAACAAAAATCTACAAGAAATAAAGAGAAAGGAATCCAAACATAACACTATAGAAACTAATCAACATACATGAGAAGAGAGGAAGAGAATAAGAGAGGAACAGAGAAGAACAACAAAAACACTCAGAAACAATAAAGGGGCAATAACTATCAATAATTACTTTAAATGTAAATTGCAATGATCCAATCAAAAGGCACAGGTGGCTGAATGGGTGAAAAAACAAGACCTGTACTTATGTTGCCTATAAGAGACCCACTTCAGATTGAAAGACACACACAGAATGAAAACAAAGGAATGGAAAAAGATATTGCATGCAAATGTACATGAAAATAAAAGCTGAGGTAACAATACTTATGTCAGACAAAATACACTTTAAAACATGAGCTATAACAAGAAACAAAGGTCATTTCATAATGATAAAGGAGTCAATCCAACAAGAGGAGATAACATAAATATCTATGCACCCAATGTAGGAGCACCTAAATATATAAGGCAAATACTGATGTACATAAAGGGTGAGATCAACAGGAATACAGTAATAGTAGGGGACTTCAACACCCCATTGACATCAATGGATAGTTAATCAGACAAAATCAACAAGGAAACAGTGGCTTTCAGTGACACATTAGACCAGATAGACTAATTGATATTTTTAGGACATTTCACCCCAAAGCAGCAGAACATACATTCTTTTCAAGTGCACATGAAACGTTTTTCCAGGATAGACCACATGTTATGCCACAAAATAAGTCTCAATAAATTTAAGAAGATTGAAATCCTGCCAAGCTTCTTCTCTGATCACAATGGTATGAAACTAGAAATCAATTAAAAAAGAAAACTGAAAAACACAAACACATAGAGGCTAAATAACATGCTACTAAACAATGAATGGATTAACAAGATCAAAAAAGAAATCAAAAGATACCTTGAGACACATGCAAATGAAAAACAATGACCCAAGATCTATGGACACAACCAAAGCAGTTCTAAAAGGGAAATTTATAGCAATAAAGGCCTCAAGAAACAAGAAAAATGTCAAACAATCTAACGTTACACCTAAAGGAACTAGAAAAATAAGAACAAAGCCCAAAGTAAGTAGAAGAAAAGAAATAAAGATCAGAGTGGTAAAAAATGAAAGAGAGTCTAAGAAAAACAATAGAAAAGATCAGTGAACCCAAGAGCTGGTTCTTTGAAAAGATAAACAAAATTGATAAGCCTTTCACTGGACTCATCAAGAAAAAAAGGAGAGGGCCCAAATAAATAAAATCAGAAAGGAAAGAGAAGTAACAACTGACACCATAGAAATACAAAGAATTATGAGGAAATAGTACAAACAATTATATGCCAACAAATTGGACAACCTGGAAGAAATGGATAAATTCCTAGAAACATAATCTTCCATGGCTGAATCAGGAAGAAACAAAAATGCTGAACAGACTGATAACTACTAATGAAACTGAATCAGTGATCAAAAAAACTCCCAATACACAAAACCCCTTGACCAGATAGCTTCACAGGTGAATTTACCAAATATTCAAAGAAGAATTAATACCTAGCCTCAAACTATTCCAAAAAATTGAAGCGGAGGAAGGGCTCCTAAAATCATTTTATGAGACCAGCATTACCCTGATACCAAAACCATACAAAGACACTATAAAAAAAAGAAAATTATAGGCCAATATCCTTGATGCACATACATGTAGAAATCCTCAAAATATTAGCAAACTGAATTCAGCAATACATTAAAAAGATCATACACTATGGTCAAGTGGAATTTATTCCTGGGATGCAAGGTTGGTTCAATGTCTGCACATTAATTAACATGATATACCACATAAACAAAATGAAGGATAAAAATCATATTATTATATCAATAGATGCAGAAAAAGCATTTGACAAAATCCAATATCCATTTATGATAAAACTGTCAGCAAAATGGGAATATACCTCAACATAATAATGGCCATATATGACAAATTCACAGCTAACATCATATTTAATGGTGAAAAGCTGACAGCTTTTTTCTTAAGACCAGGAACAAGACAGGAATGTCCACTTTCACCACTTTTATTCAACATAGTATTGGAGTTCCTAGGCACAGCAATCAGACAAGAAAAATAAAAGGCATTCGAGTTGGAAGTAAAACTGTTATTATTTGCAGATGATGTAATACTATATAGAGAGAGCCCTAAATATTCCACCAAAAAACTATTAGAACTAATAAATGAATTCAGTAAAGTAGCAGGATACAAAATTAATATTCTGAAATTGGTTGCATTTTTATACATCAATAATGAATGAACTGTCAGAAAGAGAAATTAAGGAAACAGTCCCATTTACAACTGCATCAGAAAGAATAAAATACCTAAGAATAAATTTAAACAAGAAGGTAAAATATCAGTACTCAAAAAACTATAAGACATTGAAGAAGATACAAATAAATGGAAGGATATACAGTGCTCATGGGTAGGAAGCATTAACACTGTTAAAATGTCCATACTACCCACAGCAATCTTCAGAATCAATGTAACCCTATCAAAATACTAATAGCATTTCCCACAGAACTAGAACAAGTAATCCTAAAATTTACATGGAATCACAAAAGATCCTCAATAGCCAAAGCAATCTTGACAAAGAAAAGCAAAGTTGGAGGCATCATGCTATTAGATATCAAACTACACCATAAGTCTATAATAATCAAAACAGCATGGTACCAGCATAAAAACAGACACATAGATCAATGTAACAGAATAGAGAGCCCAGAAATAAACTCATGCCTACGTGATGCAAATTAAAACTACAATGAGTTATCACCTCACACCTGTCAGAACGTTCAGCTTTCATCAATAAATTAACAAACACCAAGTGCTGGCGAGGATGTGGAGCAAAGGGAACCGAACCCTTGTGAACTGCTGGTTTTACCTGGAACCACAAAAGGGTTTGTAAATTGATGCAGCCACTATGAAAAACAGTATGGAGCTTCCTCAAAAAAGTAAAAATAGAACTACTGTATGACCCAGCAATTCCACTTCTGGGTATTTACCCAAAGAAATCCAAAACACTAACTTGAAAATATATATGCACCCCTCTGTTCACTGCAGCATTATTTACAACAGCCAAGATATGGAAGCAACCTAAGCGTCCATCAACGGATGAATGTATAATGAAGAGATGGCACATAGTAGTATATACAATAAAATATTACTCTGCCATGAAAAATAATGAAATGTTGGTATCTGTGACAACATGGGTGGACCTAGAGTGTTATGCTAAGTGAAATGAGTCAGAGAAAGACAGATACCATACGATTTCACTTATATGTGGAATCTGAAAAACAAAATAAAGGAACAAAACAGAACCACTCGTAGATACAGAGAACAAACTGATGGTTGCCAAATGGGAGGGGGTTTGGGGGGAATGGGTGAAAAATATGAAGGGATTAAGAAGTACAAATTAGTAGTAACAAAATAGTCACGGTGATGTAAAGTACAGCATAGGGAATATAGTCAATAATATTATAATAACTATGTATGGTGTCAGGTCGGTACTAGATTTATCAGGGTGATCACTTCCAAAGTTATATAAATGTCTAATCACTATATTGTACACCTGAAGCTAATAGAATATTGTATGTCAACTGTAATGGAAAAATAAAAAAAAACTTTAAAAATTAATATATACATATAGCACTTACATAGGTAGCTAGTTCTTTCCACTTAAGAAGCTTGGCTTCCCATTTTTAATATAAGTACCTGTTAGCTGGGTACCCATTTGATTTCTAAGAGAATTCTTAGTTAAGAAAAGGAGGCTAAACATTTTTAACATTTTTTTCCCTTAGGAATCAACAGTTAACAATACTGAAAAAGAAACCCATGTATCTACCAGACTAACCATAGGATTTTTATTGTAATAAAAGGGAGGCATGGTTTCTTCACAGGCTAACTATAGTCATAGGATTTGTGTGTGTGTGAGTGTGTGTGTGTGTATCTGTGTATATAAAATTTTGTTGTTCTTACCTCTTTTCCCTTCCGTATGCAGACGCCGCAGAGAGGATGAGGAGCGATGAGCTGGCAGTGACCATGGAAGAGACCCGTGGGCCTGACGATGCTGAAGCGCAGGGCGGCCCGTGTCCGGGCCTGGCGCCAGCGCCTCCCGGCCGCCTGGGGGCGCCATACTCCGAAGCCTGGGGGTATTTTCACCTGGCCCCCGCACGCCCGGGACAGGCGTCGGGCCACTGGGCCACCTGCCGGCTGTGCGGCGAGCAGGTGAGCCGCGGCCCGGGCTTCCACGCTTGCACCCCGGCGCTGTGGAGGCACCTGAAGAGCGTGCACCGGCGGGAGCTGGAGAAGAGCGCCGCCGGCCGCTCGCCGCCGCCCGCCCCCGGCCCCGCTGTGGCCGCATCGGCGGCCGCCGAGGGCGACTGGGCGCGCCTGCTGGAGCAGATGGGCGCGCTGGCCGTACGTGGAAGCCTGCGCGAGCGCGAGCTGGCGCGGCGCGAGGCGGCGGTGGAGCAGGGCGAGCGCGCCCTGGAGCGGAGGCGCAGGGCCCTGCAGGAGGAGGAGCGCGCGGCGGCCCTGGTGCGGCGGGAGCTGCAGGCCGAGAGGGAGGCGCTGCAGGCGCGGCTGCGGGAAGTGACCCGACGTGAAGACGCCTTGGCCTTGGCCGCTGTCCCGCTGCAGACTGCGCTCAAAGAGGAGCCCGAGGGGGAGAGGGACGGCTACATCATCACGAAAGTCTTGCTGTAGGTTTTGGCCGCTCCCACAACCCCTTGCCAGCGCTACTTCAGGTGTGGCCCGTGTACCAGCGGCTTCAGCCTCACCTGGAAGCTGAATCCCAAGCACTGCCTCTTGCTAAATTGGAAGCGTCCATATGGGGCCTTGAAAAAAACACTTCGGAAGCCGGAACACAACCAAAAATCACTCCCACTCTGCAGTCACCTGGGGTGCCTGGGGCGCAAGCTCCAGCGGCCTGCTCTGCTGTTGGCGGTTAGTGGGCATCTGTGCAGGGGGCGGTTTTCCTCTGATTGCCTTTGGCAATGAGCACTCCAGCAGCCCCTTGAACCTAGATGACTCGGAGCCATGTACCTAGTGACTCTGAAAGGGCAGAAACTTCCTTACACACCAAAGATTACCACACCATGTGCCTGAACACCAGCCATGGCAACCCTGGGTAGAGGGCCCATGGAAACGAGGATAAAGCCTTTTACCCAAAAAAGAGTTTTACTCATTTCCTAATGAGTAAATCTTCAATGAGCCGTCTTTGCCCAGCACCAAGTTCTGAAAAGCGGGCCACTTAGTTTCCACGACTGCTTTTTACCCTCATCATCTCTAGTGCCTCAGCAGGACAAACAGGAGAACCCGTTTACTCCCCTCCCAGCTTGCACCACAATCTGGCCTCAGCCGTCTTCCTTCCAGTTTCAGACCCAGTGGAAGCTGTGGTCAGTCTCCGCACTTAATGCCTCACAGTTGCCTCCTATTAGCAAAACATGACCTCGTCCTTCATTGCTAGGAAGGGCTCTTCCTTCCCTTCCTGTCTCTACAGTTTTCACTTCTGGGTCAAAGCAGGCACCCCCCTATCAGAGACAACCTCCTTCTCCTCCTGTGTTCATCCATTCCTTGCCCACCTCCACTGGGTCTTTGCTTGAGTACTTCCTTTCCTCTGTCTTATTCCCTCCCTTTCCCCAGACTTCCTCTTCCTTAGAAATGCCCGGCCTCCCAGTATCCCCAGCCTGGAAGCTCTCAAGCGAACCACCATCCAAGGAGGATCAGGTAGTCCTTGCTGCCTATACTTCCTCCCCATTCTTGACTCCTTCACTCCATGCTCAGTTTTCCATGCTACACTGGATTCTTAAGAAGCCTCTACAATCTTCCAGTGGCCAAATATGACGGTTTATTTTCAGCCTTCATTTTGCTTAATCTCTCGTTTGTTGAAATTTCTCCTTTGGTAGATGGAACTTGGCTTTCCTCCAGAGAATGCCTTTTCCTATGTACACTGGTTCCCAAATGATTATTCTTCAGGCCTATTTTTTTCTTATTTTTTATATATTGAAAAATTTCAAGCAACCAGAAAAAGTTGAAAGGCTAGTAAATGAATCCCCATATATACCCTCCACCTACATTGAACAATTAACATTTTTTTCATATTTACGTTTTCTTCCCACCACTCCATCCATAGGGATGACATTTCATCCCTAAGTGTTTCAGCATGCATCTCCTAAGAATATTTCATTGTTTTACATGATTACAATGCAATTATACCTAAGAATATAAACAATTTCCTAATACCCTCTAATGTAGAGTTCTTAATCAAAATTCCTCAGTTGTCCCAAGAATCTTTTTATCTTTAAAAACAGGGTCCAATCAAAGTTATATTACTTTTTACTATAATCCTTTAGAACAGCCCCCCTCACTATTTTTTTCCCATGACACTTGTTGAAGAGTCCCAGCCATCTGTCTTATGATGTCCTCTATCTGTATTTGTCTGATTGTTTCCTTAGGCCAATTTCTGCACTTATCTACCTGTACAGCTGCAATCACCTCTGTGCCAGCGACTCCTGAATACTTCCAGCCTTGAGTGTTCTCCCCTCCACCCCCAATGTCTGTCCTTCATGTCCAATCTTCTGATGAGTTTCTACCTCATCCTGTCACTACTGATGGGACAAATCTTCAACTCTACATCACCACCCCTAATCTTTACTGGACTCTTAAAATGTATCAGATACATATACACTTTACATGTATTATCTCACTTTCTAATAGTAGCTCCATGGGGAGGCATTACTATGCACATTTTACAGCTAAGGAAACTGACAGGAGTTAAGTAGCTTGTACAAGATCACAGCTGGTAAATATTGAGTTGAGATACAAATCCAGTCTCTACCTCCAGGTGCCAGGCTCGTAGCTGCTGTACTGTCTCCCTTGTTAGTCACCTGGCTGACACCTGTTTCCTTCCTAACTCCAATTTCAGGTAGAACCTTCAATGATATTAACACACTAAGCATTCACCATGTGCCAAGGCCATGGTAAATGCTTTACAAGAATAACTGCCTACCACACAACAACCTCATAATGTTAAGTGCTCTTATACTCATGTTGTAGAGGAAGAGACAGGCTCAGGGGAGCTAAATGTCTTCAGGGTCACACAACTACTAAGAGGCAAAGTGGGACTTGAACTCCAGTGTCACTAAATCCTAGGCCCCTCATCTACTGAGTCTATTTCTACAAAATATCACACCTGTCTTCCTACAGATGCCACCTGTCAAGCGCAGGCCCCATCTTATCCTTCATCTAGGGTTCATCTTCCCATCTTTGTTTGCCCCCACTGTCCCCTACCTGACACTCAGCCAAAAGAAATTGTCCTGTGCCAAGGTTGAGTGTATCACTTTTCCTGCTCAAAAGTCCCCCATCTACAAGCTTTTACTTTGTGGCCTAACATCCAAGTCCCCCCGCCCTGGGGCTGGTCTTAGTTGTCCCTCCCTATATATGCTGTATTCTCCAGCCAGTTTAGACTCCTTGTTCTTCCTGACATGCCCTGGGCTTGGCTGGCGCCTCTATGCCTCCCATCCACTTAAAAATTCCCTTCAATCTCTGAGTATGAAAAATCCACTCATTTTTCTAAGACCATGCCCAAATTTGACTCCCTGCATGAAGCTTTCCTTGGTTCCTCCTCGTTTATAGACATGATCACTTACTTCTCTGGACTCACAGCGTTTTGTATCTGACAACTTAGAACAGGCCATCTAGCATATGGCTATGTGAGTTCTTGTCTCATCTCTCTTGCCAAACCTTAAGGCCTTGGGGTTAGGGATGGAGTTCACTCATCCTTCTACTCCTGCAATGCCTTGCATATAACTGCTTAATAAATATTTGAGGCACCAAACACACTCAATGTGTTTAAGATTTTTACAAGTTAGTTGTCTCATAATCATTAATATAACTATTCATTTATCTTTAATCCTGAGTAGAATTCATAACAGAAAAAATAGCCTGTAAGGAAATTGCAGTAATAATTTTTCAAGCTGTTTAGTCAATAAAGATTTAATAAGTATCAGTTATTGGACTGTTTGGATTGAATCCAATCAACTACTCTAGCATGTCATTATCAGGAATGTTTTTCTTAAAAGTATGTTTTTCATTACACAAGTAACACAAATGCAATGCCCCAATCTGAAGAACAGCAGGTAAAAATAACCCCCCACAGTCCCAACACCTTGGTGACTAGTAATATTTTAATGAATTTTATTTGTCTCTTTTGCAATTTTAACATTAATAATGTTATCTCTCAAATACTGACATTTAACTTCATGTGGATTTATAAGTTGGGCTATAAGATCTGAATTTGCACATTTTAGAAGAAAGAAACTTTTACAAATGTTACTCTTCTATTTCACCAATTGTTAGAACCATTAAAATAAGCAATGATTTCCTTTTAGAATCTTAACCGCCCCCTCAAGAAAGATGGCTGTTGGGAGCCCAAATAATCTGTTCAGGGCCAGGGAGAACAGTTAGCTTGACTGATGTGTGAGTGCTGGTTTGGGGAGTTAAGGGAAGACGTTACTTTCTGTTTTATACAGTATTGCATTGTTGTAACTTTTTATACCAAACATGAATTACTTTTATAATAAAAAATTACTTTTTGCAAACGAAGAAACTTCACCATCAGCATTCAGCTTCCTTAGTTAATTCAAAATAAGCAAAACCTCAAACACAGGGGCTGACATAATCCCCACTTCCAGAAAAGCCTTGAAATAAATGTAGCCCTTGTCGAGTCCTGCTCCATCATTTGACAGGAGAAAAATGAGTCCCAGAGTGACTTGTCCACTATTGGGAGATAGCGGCTTTGATGACTCACATGACGCCAGCCTCCTCAACAGATATCCCACCTCCTTGGCCTTCAGTGCTCTGCTAGCTCTCTTGGTGAAGCACAAGGGCTATCAGGACCAACCAGCAGAGCTGGGATCTCCATTTGTGCTAAGTGGTGGGGATTTGAGAGTGCACAGGTGGATTCCCAGGATTGCTTCATCCTCTCTGGCTGTGGCACAGCCTGTTCACCGAGTTGTCACTACTGATGGCTGACAGTGACACACCTCACCTATATCACTAGGGCTTCCTGGATTTATGTACCTGGATTTGCTAATAACAGCAGCACCCAGGTGCTGCATCTGAGAGCAACACGTGCACTGCAGTAGCAATGTGGAAGCTGGAATTGGGATGCAGTCTGCCCTGAATCCAACTCCTGAACTGCCATGATGTAAAGTGATCAGTCACTTCTTTAAGTTGAAATTTGGCAGGGAGAAGGGTGTGTGCATAAAGCAGGGTAATGACCAAGCTTGAAACAGCTAAGGCCCTTTAGGCACCTAAGTTATCATCTCTGGTGGCTGAAGAAGAGAAGGGTTTGGCTTGGTTTGGGCTGGGTTTCTAAGGTTCCAAGTCTTCAGTGTTTCCAAAGGGATTCAGAAAAACTGGGCTTTTGTTTTGTTTTGCTGCCATGGACTTATCAAGGAATTCTATTTCTAAAGGTTTGAACTTACTACCTTTCTACAACCTGAATCTGTTCCTTTGTTGGGAAAATGGATGAGGGCTCATTAAGGGCCGCTTTGACTCTATTATGTTGTTACTACCTGAAATACAGCAAAACATATATCCACCTTTGAGTGAATCAGTTGCTCTGTTTAATTGTATTTTCTTGTTAACTACAGATTTTGAAAACGTTGAAAATCACCTATGTATGCTTATTATGAAAAATAATAGTAGTATATCAAGTTTCTTCTTCCACAGTACTGAGCTCTTAGATTCACTACCAGCGTGCTCCCCTGTACTATACTCTTTTTGTACTCATAACACCCTGTAGGCAGGGCAGGTATAAACGTCCATGTTTTATAAATGAGGCCCCCACACTTCAACAAGGTGAAATGACCTGCTGAGGACCACACAGCTAGTAAGTAGCAGATTGGAGCCTGGAGCTCAGTCCATGGATCCTGGTCATATCTGGGGTCAAACAGTTGTGCTTCCTTCCAGGTCTATCTTCTGGCCCACATCTTCACCTGAACTTCTGTGTCCTGGCCTGAATGCTCCCTGACACTTGGGTTGAAGTTGGCTGCTTCCCACCCACAAGCTCTGGTGCTGAGGGTAAGCCAGCCAGCTTTCCAAGTGGAAGCAATGTTGGCTTCTGTATTAGCTCCAGACTGCTGCTGTAACAAATTACCACAAATTTTGTGGCTTAAAACAACACAAATTTATTATCTTACAGTTCTGCAGGTCAGGAAATGGATCTCAAACTGTTGGCAGGGCTGCGTTCCTTTCTTGAGGCTCTATGAGTGAATCTGTTTTTTTGCCTTTTCCAGCTTCTAGAAGTTGCCCACATTTTTTAGCTGTGGCCTCTTCCATCTTCAAGGCTAGAAAAAGGCCATTCTTCTTCATATTATGTCACTCTGCCTCCCTCTTCCACATATAAAGGGCAATCTCCTTAATCTTAAGGTCAGTTGGTTAGCAACCTAATTCTATCTGCAAACTTAATTCTCCCCTGCCAGGTAACATATTGAAAGGTTCCAGACATTAGGACATAAACATCTTGGGGGGGGGGGCATTATACTGTCTGGCCCAGGTCTGGGGTTGTGAGAGAAAGGCACTTGCTTGTGAGCCCCTCCTCCCCAGAAATCAATACTTCAGTGGGGTTCCTAATATTTCGCCTCTTATATCTTAGTATCTCTGCCCAGTACAGGGCCCACTCAGACTTTTCTGAGGCAATTACCTGGAAAGTGGGTGTGAAGGATGCCTCTAGGGGGAAATGAAAGGCCTGCATAGTTCTGAGAACATTTGTAAATTTGTGCACTAACAAGGATCCCACTGACTAGGAAGGCTGGGTGATATCTGAAGAGCTGATCAAGCTTTTGGAGTCAGATGTGAATTAAAATCTAAGCTTCCAACCACATGTTAAGTGTCACCTTGGCAACCACCTTCAGGTCTCTGAAACCCAGTTTCCTGCCTCATCAGTAAAATAAGAGTAATACATACCTTACAGGGTTGTTACGAGAATTAAGTCTAATATTATTCAGGCAAATTCTGACATCTAGTTTAAACTCAGTAACGACTTCTATGTCTCTTATCTGGATGATTAGTGGACATCTGGTCCTGTTCAAAAGGTACACGGAAACACTTGGCCCACATCAAAAGGTCATTGCAATTTAGCCCTATCAAAAATGTCCCTGAGTATATTTGGTCCATGCCAAATGGTCCTTGATTTTTGGTCCTGTCAAAATGTCCCAGCTTAGAAAACATCCCACGGTTCAAATAGCCCATAATGTTTATTTACACAGGGTTAATATATTTAAAAACTACCATGTTTTATTGGCCCAATAACTGCGTAGTGGCTATATTGCCAATAACCCTTCTTGTCTCAGTAGCCTAACTGGTCATACATAGCACATGGGGTTAAGTAGATGGGTTGGTGTGGGCCAAATGTCTCCATGGATTTCTGGTACAGGGCCAAATATCAAGGACTTTGTGGCACAGACCAAATGTCTCCATGGACATTTTGGATGGGACCAAATGTTCTGCAAGATCTGAATGGGAGCTCAAAACCAGTCCAAAGAACCTCAGAAAGAACATGTTCTCTGGGATGATTCCTGAGAACAGCTACACACAAGTCACAAAGCTTTGCCAAGTCATTTTCCTGCATGATAGAACTACTTTTCTATCAAAACATAAATTTCAGACCTGATTTGCCAAATGAGCTAATCTAATCAACACTTAATATGACTTGTGGCTACAAAGTAATCTGACCAATCTTACAAGTAAATATATCAAAACTGATCCATCTAGGTACTTTTCCTTCAAAGTAGTCCCCTTGGAAGATACAGTTATTGCAAAAACGTTTCCATGCTTAAAACATTTCTGGAACTCCTCTTTTGGAGTAGTTCTCGCAGCCGCTGGCACATTCTTTACAACATCCTTAAGTTGGCAAATATTCATCTTTCCAGGAAAAATTTTATTTTTTAAAAGAGCTGCCATTCAGAGCCCAGCCTGGTGAATGTAGTAGATGATTGACCAGATTAACTTTTGTGGATAATAAGGTGTGATTATAATAAAGCAATAATTATTTTTGCGTGGCTCATAAATTGGCCTTGATAGTGTTGTATATTAAGGTTAAGTAAAGGTAGCATGGTCATAGTAGAGATTAAAGCCCATTTTAGTAGGTTTATGATGTGAATGAATTCAGGTAGTACTGGGAGTCATTACATATTTAAATAGTTTTAAATGTTTCTTTTTATGAAAATCTTAATTATGACATTGTCTGAAATCTGATTTCATAGTGCTAAAATGAAGGCTTTAAAGAAAAGCATTAAATGCTAATGAGAGCTTTATTATTTCAGTATATATTCTCCTGGGCCTCAGGTCAAGATAAGTAATGATTAGATGAATGAGCTGGCAACCTTCCTGGCCTCTGAAATCTCCCAGTAATTTAACTGGAAGCTAACTAACACATTGCCACATGTTAAAATACATTTAATAATATTCCACCAACTTCTCTGTGTCTTTGGCTTTCTGGTCAATGAAATACTATGGCATTTCCACACACAGATGAAGAAAGCTAGCTTTGCTGGAAGAATTTCTGAAAAGTCATTCTTACTCCACAGGCAGAAGACGCTGTTTGCCTCCATTCACATTCACTTCCCCCAGCTCGTCTGCTGCTCATCCTCCAGGCACTTTCTGATCTCCATGTTCTCTGATTCCAGTGACCTGATGCATGTTTTGTTGTTGTTGTTGTTTGTACTTCAGTGATTCATTGTTCAGATTTAGAACCACAAAACCCAAATGTATGAGCAGGCAGAGTTACTATTACTCTCAGGTAATTAGAGGAAGTACATTATTAAACGAGGGGCTGCAGCCTCAGTAAGGTTTCACTGTTGTCCACATATCCAAAACCCTCAAAAACATAACTAAAACGTTTTTGAAGGCAGAGTTTATAAGATTACCCTAAAAAAAAAAGCCTGGTTTGGAGACAGATCTGAAAACATTAAAACAACAAAAATAAATAAATAAGTTGCTCCTTCCCCCTCCACCCTAGAACTTTGGCTTTTGAAAAAACTTTTTAATGAACAAAGAACTATTTTGAGTTAATACTCTTTGGGGGGGACTATCAAGGCCTTTATGTGACTACTTGGCCTTTAGGAAATAAATCTAAACCCAAAAATGCAGGGAGTTTTATCCAGTTTGTTTACTGCTGTATCCCAAGTGCTTAGAACCAGGGTCCGGCCTGTATCGAGCACCTCATGGCTATCTGCTGCATGAATGCACACTGTCAAAAGATCTTCACAGAAGAGTATCTGAAATCCAGTTCTCCTTGGAGCTCTCCTTGCAGCTCCCCTGCTCCCACAGGGTAGTGAGAGCCAGGGTGGGCCTGCTAGATCTCCCTATTTCACCCCAGATAGCTCCTTTTCCAAAGTCATGAAGAATCCATCCCTTCTTTGAGGACGATAAGGGTCACCTACAATAGCTTCTGCCCTTTCTTTCTCATTCCCAATCCCTTGTTCGTGCTCCAATATTCATTAAGAAATCCAGCTCCTGACAGTCTTCTTGTCCACACCTTTCTCCCATCATCACCTTGAGGAATGAAGATGGCCCATCCGCTTACCTCATCCCTCAACCTCCCTGGCTTCAATAACCACCATCTCCGCTCCAGGATTCTACAACCACCACGGCCTTGGTATTGGTAGCTTGGCATAATAATACTAATAATTGCTAATATTTCAGGGCTTATTATGCACTGAACACTGTGCTCAGTGCCACACAGGCCTTATTATCTCATTTAAACTTCCCAACAAACTCACGAAGACATTAAGGTACGGAGGTTTAAATACATTTTTAAACATCACTCAGGTCAGGACTGGCAGATCTGTAATTTGAACCCAGGACAGTGAGACTCTTTAGCCTGTGCTCTTAACCATCCTTCTGGGGTGAAAAGAATGAAGATTTAAACCCCAGCTCTGTCACTCTGCCACACAGGCTTTTTGACCTTGAGCAAAACAAAAACCTCTCTAAGCCTCAGTTTTCTAATTCATAAAATACTGTCAAGAATAAAGACAATATATGTTAAGTGCCTAACATACCATAAATGTGTGTTCCATCCATCCCACCAACAAGCACTTACTGGTACCTCCTAAGTATCCAATCCTGAGGTAAGTACTGAAGACACACCTGTGATTAAGATAAACCAGGTTCCTGCCTTCAGAGGTCTGCACAGCACCTGGTGGGTTCTCAATAAACATTTGATAGATGGAACAAGCCCTCAAGGAGGCCTACCAGCCTCCACTCTACCTCTCTTCAATCAGCCAGTTATTCCACTATAAAGCAATCTTCCCTGCTTAAAATCCTTCAGGGAATTCCTCATTGTTTAAAAAAAAAATTCCAATTTCTTAACACAATATGCTAAACTGGCTGTAGGTAAGTGGCTCAGTTCCCCTCCCCACCCCATCCCCTTCTCTTTAAACAGTGTTCATATGTAATCTATTTGGAAGCTTGAATTGAAAACCAGATCAATTAAGGTGTATTCTGGTAATAGCATGAGAACTGGAGTCAGCAGTTTAGCATCCTAACCTTTCACCTTCATCAAGTGCACGCACACATACACAGCTGCAGCTCCTAAGGCAACGCCATAGGTTCTATCAAACAGTTTGAAAACCAAGCTTTAGAGATCAATGTTTTTCTAACTGCAGGACACAACCCATTAGTGGATCATGAAATCGATTTAGTGGCTGGAATCAGTGACTTGGAAAAAAATAACAGTGTATTACATGAACTAATGACTAAGTATTGGTATATGAGTTCTGCCAATTAAGTTCGCGAACTCATCCTAGAAAAAGTGCTACATACCTCATTGCTGAATATCACTACAGTCATCTTCGAAGTACTCCCCTTGGGAAGCTATGCACTGACACCAGCATCTAGTCCCCTCTTCAAAGCAATTTTGGAACTCTCTTTCTGGAATGGCCATCAGAGCTGTTGTCGTATTACCCTTGATGTCCTGAATGTCATCAAAATATCTTCCTTTCAGTATTTCCTTTATCTTTGGGTAAAGAAAGAAGTCACTGGGGGCCAGATCAGGTAAGGAGGGATCCAATTTAGTTATTTGTTTACTGGCTAAAAACTCCCTAACAGACAGTGCCGTGTGAGCTGGTCAATGTCATGATGCAAGAGCCATGAACTGTTGGCAAAAAGTTCAGGTCGTAAATTTTTCACACAGCCTTTTCAGCCCTTCCAAATAGTAAACCTGGGTTAGCTGTTTGTCCAATTGGTACAAATTCATAAAGAATAATCCCTCTGATATCAAACGAGGTTAGCAACATCATTTTGTTTGTTTGTTTTGTTTTGTTTGAAGATTTTTTTATTGGGGAATTGGGGGATGGGAACAGCGCTAAGGAATTGGGAGAAGGGGAACGGACAAGTTGCTGTCTTTTTTTATTCTTCAGTCTAGTTGTGGAGGACGTTGCTTCACTGGCCCAAGTTGGCACCATCATTGCATTCTTCCCGGGTGAGGCAGATCAATCGCCGGCTTCTGGACGGCCGCTCACTGCAGCTGCTGGCCACTTACGCTGGCTGCTGGCCACACATGGTAGCCCATGGCAACCCACTGCAGCAGGGCTGCAGCCTACACAGTCGCCAGCAACTCACGGCAGCCCCGCTCCTGGTTAAGCTGTTCCTCAGCATCTTAGCTGTGGAGGGCAGTGTCACGGGCCCTCATATGTGGGATCCGAACCAGGGCCCTCTGGCGTCTCAAGCCAGCTCTTAACCAATGCGCCACTCGGCCAGCCCAGCAACATCGTTTTGACTCTTGATTTGGACTGACGGAACTTCTTTGGTCATGGAGAATTGGCTGACTTCCATGTGCACTTTGACACTTTGTTTCAGGGTCGTATTGGTTCACCCATGTTTCATCACCAGTGATAACACGGCCCTAAATATCATCTTCCCTCTCCAAAAGGTCTTGGCAAACATTGGCTCTCTTTTCCTTTTGTTCATCAGTGAGCTCCTTCGGGACTATTTTTGCACACACCTTTCATGCCAAGATTTTCAGTTACGATTTTCCTAACTGTTCCTCTATCAGTGTTTACTTGACTTGGTCTGCTATGCTTCTCACAATCAGCCGACGATTTTGACGCACAATTCGACAAATTTTTGCAACGTTTTCATCAGTTCTGCTTGTTACTGTCCTGACCTCTCTTCACCAGTGACACATTCTCTCCCCTCAGAAAAATGTTTAATCCATTTGTACACTGTCGTTTTCTTCAGTGGCATTATCCCCATAAACTCGGACTAACATGTCCCTGATTTCACTTCCACTCTTGCCAAGTTTAACAAGAAATTTAATGTTTGTTCATTGCTCTAATTCAAGCTCAGACATTTTTGCAACAGCACACAAAAACATTAAACAACAATAATGAACGCCACTCAGCATGGCACTGCCATATGTTGACAAGAACACAGCTTTGAAACACTGATATACCAAGGTTATGAAACCTTTCCGAGCTGTTTGTGCAGTGCTGCCAATGTAAGTGCATGGCGGCAAGTTCATGAACTTAATTGTCACACCTCATATACGCACACACAGACACTCACGTACTAAGCTGTAATACACACTGCATTTCTTACTGTGGTTCATGGTCAGAATGGTTTAAAAGCCACTACTTTACATCCTCTATGTAGTCTCAGTTCCTTCCATGTTTCCTCAGTCACATAAAACTCCATCCATATTAAGCCACTTGCAGTTCCCCAAACCCACCTTGCTCTTTGACTTCTCTGCCTGTGAGTGTATAAGCCAGGCCTGGTGCTAGGCACTAGGAATGCAGCAGTGAGAAAACCAAGGTCTTGCCCACATGGGCCTTAAGAATCTAGGGCTGGCCTAGTGGCTCAGTTGGTTAAGAGCGCGAGCTCTGATCAACAGGGTCGCCGGTTCGATTCCCACATGAGCCAGTGAGCTGCGCCCTAACTGAGCTGCCGACGGGCGGCCCGATGGTTCAGTGGTTAGAGCACATGCTCCTAAAAACAAGGTTTCTGGTTCAACTCCCACATGGGATGGTGGGCTATGCCCAACCACAACTAAGATTGAACACGGCACTTTGAGCTGAGGGGCTGCGAGCTGTCGACGGGCAGCCAGATGGCAACTGGACTCGGAGATGAGCTAGCTGTGCCCTCCACAACTAAGACTGAAGGACAACAACTTGGCTGTTCCCCTTCCCCAATTCCCCAATAAAATCTAAAAAAAAAAAAAGAATCTAGACAAGTATCATACCAATCACACTAATTAATATATAACTGTGAACCAAAATAAGGAGTCTAAATAGAATATGGATTTTCAAGAAAATTTACCAAAGGCAATTAGGGATCTGTGCTCTTCCTCCAGGAAGGAGCATTCCAGACATAACAGAATATAAGCAGCCCTGGGATGAGAGGGCATGGAATGTTTGAGGTACTGAAAAACAGGCCAGCATGCCAGAGCTCAGAGAACAGTGGGAGAGAGATACAAGATAGGACTGGAAAAGTTAGCAGTGGCTAGGCCAGGTAGGGTCTCAGGACTAGGATTTTGTTTTCTGTCCTCAGAGTAATGGGGAGCCATTGGAGGATTTAAACAGGAGATGATGAAATAGGACTTGTAAAGACACTATGTAGATGGACTGGAGGAAGGAGTGACTACAGGGAGGCCAGCTAGGAGAATAGTCCAGGTGAGTGCTGATGGTGAGCTGATTTAATATATTGGAAATTAGGGGAAAGGAAGGAAAAGGTGGTGGTAGTGAAATAGAGGCTGACTCCTAGGTTCTGGCTTATACAACTGGCCAGAGGGTGCTGCCAGCTGAGAGAATAAACTGGGAGAGATCAGGTTTGGAGAAGACTATTGGGTTCAATCATGGATAAATTGCATTTATGATCATTTTGAGTTGGGTATATATCCTGGCTAAAACAACCTAGAAGTCATGGGTATATAGATGGTAAATGAAATCGGGCATATAAAGGTGAGGAAAATGTCTGGGGTTGAGCCCTGAAGGCATCCCCATTTCCTGGTGTTATATTCCTACTTACTATAAATGTATATGACTACACATTGTTAACTACACAATTATACCTGCTTTAAAGTTCAAATACAGAAATTATAAAAAGTAAAAGTCTATTCACTCTTTGGGTAATTAGTATTAACAATTAAATCTGTACCCTTATATTTTTTATAAGAACTGGGATTACGCTAGACACACTTTTCTATAATCTGGTTTTTAAAATCAGGAATGTAGTGAGACTATTCTTCTATATCAGAGTATAGTTCTACCTTATTCATTTAAAGGGCTATGAAGTATTATCACAATTTAACCAGCTGTCCATTCCCCACTGATGGATAGTTGGATTATCTGACCATTACCTGCCCATTCAATATTCACTGTCGCCCTTCTGCTTTGCTCACTGAACCCTGATTCTGTTCCCACAGCAACGTGTTCAGCCCCAAGTGATGGTTTATGATTGACTTACGTCAACTGAGCATCATCCTGTTTCCCGCCTTTCAACTTCCCTTGCAGCTATGGGTAGTCCTGGTATCAGGTTCTGGCTAGACCCTAAGGAGAAGTCTGCTGTGAGAGCTTCTGAGTAAGCATCTGCTTTCCTCACAAAAGAGAACTAACATGAATACTGCTCTCTGTTCCCTTTGTTTCTGTTTTGAACATAAATGTGATGACTGGAGTTCCAAAAGTCATTTTGCAACTACAAAGCTATAAGCCAGCACTAAGAACAGTAAAGCAGAAAGGCAGAGAGAAAGCCTGGGCTAATACACATAGACACACACACATGAACACCAACTCATTTTAAATAATCCAAATGTATTTCCAACTTTAAAGTCTGAAAAAGTAAAATGAAATATTTTGAATCAAAGATTCAGAACACAGATACGTGATGCCCTACAAAATAATAAGCACATTTAGAATAAGATGATAGAGAAAATACTTTCAACTGTTGCTGAGAACACCTTTACGTGTTGGGTCCAGAAATGCCTTTCTGGCTCCCTGCCAAGCACATCCCTCTGTCCTGCAACTTGACAGGATGGCCTTTGTACAAAATCTCTGACACCTCTTGCTTTCCCTTGTTTGAGATTTCTATCTTCTTTTGCCTGCAATTTGAAAATGTACCAATTAGAAATAATCTTTACATGAAAAGTTGGAAGGTATTTGATTTGGGTGAGCCATTACTTTTCTTAAGTTCACAACTAGAATAAAAATGAAACATCACAAGTAAAAATTGTTCTAAAAGCAGAAAAAAAAAATCCTGAGAAAAAGTACTTCCTAGCTATTTAATTCTAGAAAACAATTTCTGTTATTTTATTCTAATGCTGATAAGTTTCTTCCGTTCTTAATTTTGCCAGCTTCTCATATTCTGGCAAAAATATAAGATGTTAGATTTCTCAAATTCAACAACTTGTAGCTCCGCTTAAAGTAAACACTTAAAGGCTATTAAATTAATAAATTTATACTGTGTGAATAAACTAAAATTTAAAATACTGACACAAAACAATTTTATGTGTAATCCAAACTGTACATAATTCACATCTATGCTTCTAAACAAATAGAAGCTCACATTTGTACTACTTTTACAGTTTCCCAAGTGCTTTTATATACATTTTCTATTTTTCTATTCAAGACAGACATGTGAGATAAATATTATTCTTATTTCACAGTTGGAAATAGACCCAGACATTATTCAGTGCTTTAACCACTATATAGTGTAGCCCTGAGACTTTAGATCTGCAAAGGGTTTTAATAATGCAAATATCACATATATTTCAATTTTTATCACCATTTTCAAGTTTCCATTTTCTTAACAAAAGAAAACAATGAAAAAAGTTTTCTGCAATCCAATAATAAAAATGGGAACTATTATACAGATAGTTGTGTACTAACCCAGTGAGTGAGATCTACCAGAAGCGAAGTTGACTTTGGGAGTCCTGTATTACCTATATATAGAGCACCAGTACCAAAACCACATTTAGATAATTTTTTATATTTTGGATAAAATAATGCAGGAAAATCCTGTTGCCTCCAAGTCTAAAGTACATGTGTTAGGGTCAGGAAGGATACAGAAAAATACTTTATCCAGGTCTGCAGTTCTAGGACCTCTGATTATCCCATCTTAGGCCTATAGGAACATGACAATTTGGTCAGATGACTCATCTTTAGTAATAAATTTTCTTTCCTCACTCTCTTTTCTTTCAAGGTACCCTGTACCACCTAGACTAGAAATTCTAACAGGTAGCCTTTCTTTCTAAATTATCCTCCCTAATGTATAATTTTTTTCAGAATTTTCCTTTCCTATTCTAAATCTTGAACACATATAGCTTATAGTCACTGCCAGAAAAGGGTCAGTTCCAGCATTAAGTTCCCAGAAAAAGCTGAGAGCAAAATTAAACAGACAAGAATAGTGGTGACCGGCAGAGAGCAGTGACACCTGCGTTCAGAACATGGCATTGCAGCTCTCCAGTATTTGAGGTTATCCTTCTGTTATTGCTCTGTCAATTTAAAAAGGAAAATTCTGGCTGGTCCTGAGTTAAAAGCAGACCAGTATGTTCAAATCATTGGTTCAGTCAATGACTCTCTTTGATGTTATAATGTTTTTACTGCATTTTAGGACACTTTCAGTACATATCTTGAGTTTGAGGCCTTGGCTAGGTAATGTGTTTGCAGTAGAAATCAGGTTTCTCTGGCACAACTCCATTGCCAGCAATGGGATTTATCAAAACTACAAATGCCAGCATATTGAATAGTTCAATATTTTACTCAATTGTTCATATCTAAATATTTCAGCTATGAAACAAACCAAAGGTCAATGCTTAATACATAGTACAAGTCAACAGATTCTTCACAGAAGAAAACAATGAAAGACTAATTTTCTACAACATGTCACCTGTTCATTAGTTCTTCAATAATATTACTTATGTTATTTCAAGGATAATAAAATTTATGCACCACTATCCATGTTTTCTCAACATTTTTATCTAAGTTCTAAAGGGCATGAAACAAGAATGTATATAGTCAGAATTGTTTTTATAAACTTTTGATGTTTTCTTGTTGCACACCTTACAATAATGAATATATGGATACAAAGACAAATGTACATTTAAGTCACTAGTGGATATATGAATTTTGCCTATATGGCTAGTTACTTATGTCGGTCTTGGAAATGACAAGATAAAATAACAAAGTTTGATAAGCTCATCCATGCCCTGTGAACTTTAATGCACTCACCAAATAACTTGACTCAGTCACTATTTATTAGTTTCAAAAAATGTTTTTTTAAAAGCTGCAAACCACACTTTATTATACACTTATGAATCATGAGGGGGTGAATGGTGATACAGTTCCCTCATGCCACTGGCCCTTTTGGAGGGAAAAGTTCTGCAATAAAATAAAAGAGTTTCCAGACTCTTTTTGTAAAAAAGCTTGAAGTGTGTACTATGACTGACCTTCACTCTACAGTCCCTTTGACCCAAGGCACGGTCCCTGGTGCATCTTTTTGAGGTTTAGTTTCTGGGAAGTTTTCAGCAAACCTCTCTCGTGCTTTCTCCCAGTTCTTCTTGCTCTTGTTTTGGAGAAGGTGAACATCTTCAATTGAGGATGGTTTGCCTGTCCCCAGGCCTGCATGTGTTCGCCGAAGCTGGAGCTGGATCTGTTACCAAAAGTTGAGCAGAAGACTTATTGTACAAAGCACACTGAAATGTGCTGTGTCCAACTTGGTACTTTAACTATAATTCTTTGATTTAGGAAAGATTGATGCAAAAGAAAAACCTGTCAAATGCATCAAATACACCCAGGAATACACGATTATATATGAAACTTAAGCTCATTTTTCTACATTGTCTTGCCTGTCAATAAGGACAGCTGACTCCACAAAAAAAGAGTGCTCCTTAAACAGCCATCACCAAATTTCATTGAAAAGCTGCAGAATCTGTCATCCCACTCTAACCAAAAGTAAAGGCAATAGATTTATTTAAACCTACTGTCCCAGCCTCAGCTAAGTAAGTGAACAGGTGGGTTAAACATTAAGAATCATAAAAAGAACTCTTGCTTATTTTCATAAAAGGAGGGGAGGACTTATTATTTTGAGAACCATTAAAAGCCACCAGTTACTGAGTGCCTAATGTATGACAGGCACCGTGTTAGGGGCTTTATCTTCATGACACCCTGAAAAATGATTATCCCAATTTTTACATGAAAACTGAAGTCCAAACTTGCCCTAAGCCTCACAAATAGTGACAGAGCACATATTCCAACCTAGGGTTGACTGTAAAACCCATGTTCTTCCCATTGTATCTCAATAAAATGAGAACATTTACATTAAACTCACAGTGATCCATTCATTATTACTTTAGGTACCAAGTAATTAGCAAGAAAGTTCTTTAGTCATGTTACTTTGTAAGGTTTTTATGAAAGATCACCCAAACCCTGATGAACTACGGGACTACAGAATTAAATCACTGTGTCATTTTGCAAATATTATTCTCTCCATTGCTTGTTACATGCTCCGATTCTTGAACCCAACACAGATTTTCCAGCTAATACAGAATCTGCTTGTTTGTAAAGTAACAATGTGACTTCCTGCAATGTTTAGTACCAGGAATAGTAAGAAAGTCATTAAATACAAATAAAACACACAGCAAAACCTTTGGCTCAGAAAACTACACTTACTATCCTAGCTTCAATGAAGGACAAAACTCTAAGAGGCTTCCTAAAAACAAAGCAAACAATGCACATACATATATATATACATATATATATCAAGTAATCACGCACACCATGAAGGCAGTAATCATGTCTGTTTTTGCTTGGTACTATACTCCTAGCACCTAAGGCAATGCCTGGCACATATTAAGTAGACAGTAAATACATCTGCTATAAGAATAAAGAATGAAAGCACAAGTCTTACCGGAGTTTTCATTCCTCCACCGTCTTTCCCTAGGCCCTCTCCTTTTTTCCAACCCATCTTCTCTAACATCTTCCGACCTTTGTTGCTGTCAGTAATTTCACTTTAAAGAAAATTAAGGCAGTTGATTTCTAAAAGACCATTTAGGTAACATTTATAATAAATGAATGTATTAAAAATAATTGGTACAACTACTTTAGAAAACTGGCGTTATCTAATAAAGTTGAAGATACACAAATTCTAATCCTACAGATACTATTTAACAGAAAAACATGTACATGGTGCACAAATAAGACATGTACAAGACTGTTTTTGCAGCAAATCTAATAATAACCACAAATCAGAAACAACCCAGATGTCCCAGATCAATGACAAAATAGATAAACTGTGGCAATTTCATAGTAGAGAATATTATACAGCAATGAAAAGAAAATATACCTAACAAAATAATGTTGGACCAAAAAAATACAGACACAAAATAATGAATTATTAAACTTCAAATTCAACAATAAGTGAAATTAATCTGTTGCTGTTAGAAAAGAAAGAATAATAGTGATTAGGAGGGAAGGTTTCTGGGGTTACTGATAATTTTCTACTTCTTGACCAAAATGCATGTATTTTACAATGTGCTAACTGTATAATATATGGATATTGATACTTACCTTTGTATACTTTTCTGTATACATTAAACATCAATAAAAACGTTAAAATAAAATGAAACAAAACCTCTCATTACTATTTGCATTTTTTTCTATATTTTACATTTTGCAATAATTTAAGGGAATTTTAATTTTATGTTCTACAAAATTAAGTTCTACAAAAATGTAAAATTAGCTCTTTAATAATTATTAACCAAGCAATGTCATACCAATGTGCTTCATTTTTTTATTTCTGCTTTCTAATTTAACTCTAATGTAATCTTCATATTCTTCAGCAATTATAACAAAATTAAAATTTTTAAAATATTTGCCATGTCGCTTAGTACCGTACTATGCCACGTGTAATATGCACTTTTTTGCCCAAATTTGTGAGGGACAAATAAGGACGTGCATTATACATGGGTAGTACTAATTCTGTATCTATATAAATGTTAAAACTGTAAGTCTAGAAATCAATAATGATATCCATATGCAAAATAATACCCTGGAATATGATAATTGGTTTTGTTGAACTTACGACAAACTTGCAACGTCTAAGAGTTCTTGGCCTTCTATGATGCGTTAAGTAGTGTAAATTTGTTACCAGTACATAAAATTTCTTGCACCTTGCATCTGTTCTTGTGTTTTGTAATTATTTGTTACATAAAATTTCTTGTACCATAATATGTTAAAAAAATAAATGCTAAAATTCCTTTATAATACAAAATACAAGTACCTAAATGTAAACAAATAAAAATTTGAATTAAGAAATTAAAACGAAAGATTTTTTTCCCTGAAAGTTTGGGCCAAAAATGTGGGTGTGCATTTTAAATGGAGTGCACCATACATGACGAAATGTGGTATACCTAATTTATAATACTATATTTTATCAAATCTGACTCCAGAAATTGTAAGATGCACTGTCATTTTATGTAGCATTAAGAAAAATTGCTGGCATGTGTAACTGTAAAACTCTATCCAAGTAGTATATCTTAGAATCAATAAAGTATGATATTTAGTCAAAATTTTGTAATGAGTTGTCAGTTCCACACAAAAGATTTAAATTTTAGTGCCGGCCGAGTGGCGCGTTGGTTAAGAACTGGCTTGGGATTCCAGAGGGCCCCAGTTCGGATCCCACATATGAGGGCCAGTGACACTGCCCTCTGCAGCTAAAATGATGAACGGCAGCTCGAACTGGGGCTGGGCTGCCGTGGGGCGCCGGCGACGGCATAGACTGCAATCCCCTGCTGCAGTGGGCTGCCATAAGCTACTGTGTATACCCGGCAGCCAGTGTGAGCAGCCAGCAGCCGCCGTGAGCGGCCATCCAGAGGCCCGTGACTGATCTGCCTCACCCAGGAAGAGCACAATGATGGTGCCAGCTTGGGCCAGTGAAGCAACATCCTCCACAACTAGACTGAAGAACAAAAAACAACAGCAACTTGTCTGTTTCCCCTCCCCCAATTCCCCAATAAAATCTTAAAAAAAAAAAAAGATTTAAATTTTAACTAAACCCAGAATTTATAGTCTATGAAAAAACATGTAGCTAATTTATGATTGAATGCAGAAATATGGTCACATGGTAGGCCTCAAAATTACATTTTGAGCCTCTGGGTACCTAGTATATAAAAGTATGTTCACTCAGTTGGGTGGCTAGCATGTTAGCTATGCATATATGTGTGTGTTTAATTATGTGTACTCACACATATGCTCAGCACTTTTCTAGGGAATAATGGAATTCTAATATTATAGGAAAATGTAAATAGATGTATTGTTTCCATCTTGTTCTAAATCATTCCTTTAAAAGCTACCTGTCAGAATATATAACCCTATAAGTCAAATTATGACTTATGAATCTGATTACAGTACAAAGAATGTTTCAAGCAATTAAAGTTAATACTTACGAATGAACAGATGCAGGAGCATCGTCTCTTTGGAAAGTTCCTTCACTTCCAATCTGCTCCCTACGTTTCCCAGCTCTATCTTTATATTTTGGATTCTTCAATGCCTTTTCATCTTCATAGTCTGTATTCTTTATAAACACAAAATATTCATTGAAAAAAACAAAGCCAATAAATAAAAATGTAATGTCTGTATATTTGTATTAGTTAGTAAATAGGGTTAGATGTGCTCTCTACTAAAGAATTAAAACAAGCCATGATGTAAATTAAGTTATATTGATAATGCTATCTTTATTCCATTCTCTTTAAAATGTTTATATTATTCCAAGTTGTACTATAACACAAATTGTATAGAATATAAATCATACATGAATTGTAATATGTAATCATAAGATACTATAGTGAAATACAGTATATTTTGACTTAATGCTGCCTACTATTCTCATATGAACTACCACTATTCAAAAAAATATGTAGGGTGGCCAGTTAGCTCAGTTGGTTAGCGCACAGGCTCGTAACAACAAGGTTGCCGGTTCAATTTCCACATGGGCCAGTGAGCTGCACCCTCTGCAACTAGATTGAAGACAACGACCTCACTTGGATGGAGCTGATGGGACCTGGAAAAACACACTGTTCCCCAACAAAATTTATTTAAAAAGAAAATATGTAGAACCACTGGGGTTGGAAATAAAATCTATTTCTACTTTTCTCTAAGGAACTGAAAGTACCAAAGGACCTAAAACAGTTTGATTACTGTGCCTTGGGGAAAAACATGTAGAAAGTCTTTTAAACAATGGATAAAAAGCAAGTACTGGGGCAGCCGGTTAGCTCAGTTGGTTGGAGTGCTGTGCTCATAACAACAAAGTTGCCGGTTCGATCCCCACATGGGCCACTGAGCTGCACCCTCCACAACTAGGTTGAAACAACTACTTGACTTGGAGCTGATGGGTCCTGGAAATACACACTGTTCCCCAATAAAATTTATTTTAAAAAAAGCAAGTACTCTTTTACCCTGGCAATAACAGCTTTTTGCTTCAATATAGCTCCATTTATATGAGTAATCAATCACTCAACAAATATTTACTGGGAAAGAGTGTGTTGAGCTCCATACTAGGTGATGGAATGCGAAGAGACTTATAATCCCGGAGGGCAGACACAGATAATCTTTTGCATGCTACGGTATGACTGGTTCAACAATAAAGGTATACATAAGATGTGGCAGTGACACAAAAGAGGAGGCAGTCAATTCAGCTTGGGGCTTCAGAGAAGACTTCTCTCCACCTTTTGTTATTACTTGCTGATCTTTATATAAAAAGTATGACAGTCATCTACAGAGATGCTAGGGGCTGCTAGAGCAATTCAAGGAAAGGACCACAGGAGTTTTTACTTAATTTTGCTTTTTATCAGAGAAGAAAAACATAGAATCACTAACCCTAATGGGTTTTCCCCCCAGAAGATACAGAAATTAAGTTAAAATTTTTGAGAAAACATTTTATTTTCTCCTTATAAATCTTCTATTTTCCTCCCAAATTAGCGCCTTGACATTTTGTTTCTATTATTTCTCTCCCTTAGTACAACAGTAACGACAAAAATACAGTTTTGCAGAATACATATTATTTTGACAGCACTTGTAGCTGGGTGACCCTTAGCTTCAGTTTCTCAAATGTAAACTAAAAATATTAATCATCTTCCTGGTCTACTTGTAGGAATAAATGGTAACATTATTTTACAGTCTGATTAAGGTATATTATCATACAATAAATTACACATAAAGTGTACAATTAGGCACTTTTGAGATAGGTATACACTAATGAAACCATCACCACAATCAAGATAATATATCCATCTCCCACAAAAGTATCCTTGTCCTTTATTGTAATCCATGCTGCATCCTTTCTCTCAGGTATCCAGACAACCACTGATCTTTCTTTCATGTGTCTGCTTGCTTTCCTAGGATTTTATATAAATAGAAGTATATACTACGTACTCATTTTGTCTGGCTTCTTTCATTCAGCATAATTGAGATTCATCCATATTGTGGCCTGTATCAATAGCTCATGCTTTTTTATTGCTAAATAGTATTTGACCATATAGACACACCATAGTTTATCCATTCAGGATGAACACATGAATTTTTTCCAGTTTTCACTATTAGAAAAAAAGCTGCTATGAACATTTGTTTACTAGTCTTTATATGAACATATGCTTTCATTTCTCTTGGAGCAGAATGGTGAATCATACAATAGGTGTATATTTAACTTTTAAAGAAACTACTAAACTGTTTTCCAAAGCAATCACACCATTTATATTCTCACCAGCAGTGTGTGAGAGTTCCAGTTCCTCCACATGCCCACCAACACTTGGTATGGTAAGTATTTTTAATTGGTTTTAATTTGCATTTCTCTAATGACTACTGATACTGATTACCTTTTCATATGTTTATTTGCCATCTGTACATCTGCTTGAAGTGTCTATTCAAACCATTTGCTTTTTTTTGCAGTTTTTTTTTTTAATAAATTTTATTGGGGAACAATGTTTTTCTAGGACCCATCAGCTCCAAGTCCAGTCACTGTTCGTTTAATCTAGCTGCAGGGTTGCATCCCACCATCCCATGCAGGAATTTAACAGGCAACCTTGTTAAGAGCATGCGCTCGAACCAACTGAGCCACCGGCCACCCCCTTTTAATCATTTTTTAACTGAACTGTTTTCTTACTGAATTTTGAGAGTTCATTATGTATTCTAGATATAAGATATATGATTTTTATCAGACATAAGATTTGAAAATATTTTTCCCAGTCAGTGGCCTATCTTTTCATTCTCTTATCAGTGTCTTTGGAAGAACAGACGTTTTGGAGGAAGTGCAACTTATTAATCTGTTCTTTTATGGATTGTGCTTTTGGTGTTAGATATCTAAAAAATCTTTGCCTAACTTTACTTTTTAAAGGTTTGCTTCTAAAAGTTTTATAGTTTTAGGTTTTAAATTCATTTCTATGATCCATTGTGAGTTCATTTTTATATATGTTATAAGGTGTGTATCAAAGTCCTTTTTGTTATTGTTGTTTTTGCCTTTGGTGATCCAATTGTTCCAGCATTGTTTGTTGAAAAAAGACCACCCTTTCTCCACCAAATTGCTTTCACACCTTTGTTGAAAGCATACACATACACATACCTATCCATATGGGTCTATTTCTGGGCTCATTATTCTGTTCCATCGACCTATTTATGCCAGTACTATACTGTCTTAATTACATTGTTTATAAGTCTTCCAATCAGGCAGCATTAGTTCTCCAACAATGTTCTTCATTGATAACATTTTAATGTAAGTTTTTAAAAAACAGAAATGGCTATTCAAATGTAGGGTATTACTATCATTTTCTACTCTAACTTCCATAGTTTTTGAGATAAAAGTAAACAACTAAAAGAAATTACATAGTAAATCTCGAAATCATTCTAAATAACTTTTTATATATAAAATGGACTATGCATATCTAAAGACATTTTTACTCAAAACCAGGTGCACAATTTAACACATGTAATAGTATTTAACATCCTTACCTGCAAACCATATTTTACTCGTATTTTCTTTAGTTCTTTTCTCCTTTCCAACTCTTTTTCCTCCTTGCTCAGTGCTGGACCAGCTAAAAGGAAAAAGCAAGTTTGGTTTAAAATAAAAACTCATTAAAACTGATAGATTTTATATAAAATTAATACTCTTATTTAATAATAAAAAATTAATAGTATTAGTATCCCATCTGCAGATTGATCAAAAGTTCAAATAAATATTAATATAAAAAAATCTTAGGTTATGATGATGTCCTTTCAGCACTGTGGTAACTAAATCAACTTGGAAAATAAACCAAAACCCAAAGATTATAGGAATGTTACAGTATAGATAGATACTAAAAGAAATACCAAACATCTTAATTTTTTTGATGATTACTGTAATAGAATTCCAAGTGCAGAAATATTGTGAAATTTCCAAAGGAACACAGGCATGTGCAAAAAAAAAAATCACAGAATCCAAGATTCATGTTATTATATAATGTGCATACTTATTTTCATAATCTAGTATAAGAAAACAAAAAACATATAATGACCATGCAGAGTTAGTATTTAGGGGAAAAACTGATAGAAAATGATGGTGTACACACAGGTGATATAGCAACATAAACTGTAAGTAGGAAAACAACCATTTCAACCAATAACTCTTAATACATTGGCCTATTATTTTCTTTGATACTATTATATGACAGAGTTAAACTGTGGATGACTTTTTCATATCAGTAAATAGATGTTAAAAGGTAACCAATCTTTATATTATATAATTATGTCACAATTACTCTTCTGAAGGACATTTAGCTACCATTGCAGTGCTGCTTCAAAAGCCTACTAAACTAGCAAAAACAGAGCTAATGATTATCTCCTGGTCAGAAAGCAACCTCATGCTGTAATAGCACAACTAAATTATTACATAGGAAAATCAACTACAATCATAATCTATTAGCCTAGGTCACAAATTTCAAATACATGTCATTTCTTAGTGTCATTTGATAATATTCACTGAAATATAAATATATCTCAATACAGTACTATATCAATTAGATTATGAAGCTGGCAGCCAACTGATTCTTTTTTAGAACACTCCAGTGAATTAAAAAATTATCAAGCCCACATATAACAATGTTTGACATACCAAAAGATTCATCTTTCTTATCAAGACGAAGGTGAGCTCTAACCTGCCCTGGTTCACAGCCATCGCAGGTGTCACTGCCAGGGTGTATGTGAAAGGACAACACCGTTTCTCCAATTTTTACTTCATCTCCATGCTCAAGTACGTAAGGGTCACATTTAGTTTTAGGCTGAGGGGGAAAATTACAAAACAAAAATCCAGGAGAGTAACATATGATTACTTTATGTCTACTGTAAATAATATCTGATTACAACAAAAAAGTATTTGAGGTGGTTCTCAATGAGATAAATACATACACATATTTCCACAACTTGAGGATGATGCATAATGTTGTTAGTGGAGAAGAAGATACCTGAACTGAGCAACTTCTAATTTTTATATTATCAAAATCCACAATCTCCCTATCCATGCCCAATCCTTTCAAAGAAATACCCAACCCAAACTTCAAACAAGCTATTACCAAAAACGAATCATAGTAAAAAAGATGAAGTGTTAAGGGGATAAGTGCATCATATTTCCCCTCTTCCCTTCTTTTCTCTTGATAATTCAGTTTTATTTCATTTTTGATTCTTATATACTAAGAACAAGGCCTCCCTTTCTCCCCTTCCAGCGCAAACTTTGCTACATGTTGCATATAGAAGAGTTAACTGAACAGACAAAGCCCCTGCCTTCAATGTGTCCAGTTTAACATTTTCATTAAAACAATTAAAAAAAAAAAACACAAAAAGAAGGGCCCCTAAAGTTTCTGTAAGAACATTTACTTTGAATAACTTTAAAATGCACTTATTTCTAAAAATAAGGCATACATACATAATTAGAAGTCAAAATTCAATAATCAAGTATCCACTTACATACTTTTTCAGCCCTGTCTGGGAACTCCCTTCCACATAATACATTTGGACTTGAACAATGATCAAAACCAAATGATATGTATAATAACTATGGCCTTTAGGAATAAAAAATTTCAGTTCAAAAACAAAAATTTCAGTTCAGTTTTTAAAAATAATGTACAAGTAATTAATTAATACATATACACTCACCTGAAGAATCTGCTTTCCATTAACAACTGTACCATTTTGACTGCCTTGATCCACAAGGACATAACTTTGTAAGTCATGGTCGAAATAAATTTCTGCATGAAACTTAAAAAAAGAAACCAGGTAATTATAAGGTAGTATACTCTTTTTAACCATAGATAACAATTTCTCTATGATAGGATGATACAATGGACTTAGTCTGGGATAATTTAACTTTTATTTTTTTTAATACTTTTTCTGAACACAAAAGTATTATAATACTTCTGGTAGAAATGTGGGCACTACAGAAAAAAAATTCACATAATTCCACTTATAACTATCATTAATAATTTAGCATGTGTCCTACCTTTCTACTTCTATAACATAGTTGCAGCTATACTATATATAAACAATTTGAAATAATTTTTTTACCTAATGTAAGTATTTTTCCATATCATTAAAAATTCTCAATACAAAAAGTGATTTGAGGGCCGGCCGAGTGGCGCGATGGTTAAGAACTCGCTTGGGATGCCAGAGGGCCCCGGTTCGGATCCCACATATGAGGGCCAGTGACACTGCCCTCTACAGCTAAGATGCTGAACAACAGCTCAACCTGGAGCTGGGCTGCTGTGAGTCGCCGGCGACGGCGTGGGCTGCAGTCCCTGTGGCAGTGGGTTGCCATGGGCTACCGTGTGTGGCCAGCAGCCAGCGTGAGCGGCCAGCAGCCGCAGTGAGCGGCCATCCAGAAGCCGGCGACTGATCTGCCTTGCCAGAGAAGAGCGCGATGATGGTGCCAACTTGGGCCAGTGAAGCGACATCCTCCACAACTAGACTGAAGAACAAAACGACAGCAACTTGTCTGTTCCCCTTTCCCCAATTCCCCAGCACTGTTCCCATCCCCCCAATTCCCCAATAAAAATCTTTAAAAAAAAAAAGTGATTTGAAACTTCTCCAAGTTTTCCAGTTTTTCAATACTCAGGACTAATCACTTTCTCCTTGCTCCACAGCATTTTGTTTATATGACACTTCCCTTGTACGAAATTACTGCTTATGTAATGTCATTGCAGTAATTGCTTATAATTACTGCTTACATTAGTTTACATTTTTGCTTACCTCTCAGTACATAATACACTGCCTCATATATACTGGACATGTACTCAATACAGGCCTAATTGAATAAAGAGCTGCAGAAATATTTAACTTCAAATTTCATATACAATACACTATGGTGGGAATGAAAATGGTGCAGCAGCTTTGGAGTGGCCTGACAGTTCCTCAAAAGTTTAAACAGAGTTACCATATGAGCCAACAATTCTACTCCTAGGCATATATCAAGAGAAATGAAAACATACATCCAAACAAAATTTGTACACAAATGTTCATAGAAGCATTATTCTTAATAGCATTATTCTTAATAGTGGAAACAATTCAAATGTCCATCAATTGATGAATAAACAAAATGTAGTATATCCATTCAATGAAATATTATTTGGCAATAAAAAGAAATGAAGTACTGACATATGCTACAACATGGATGAATCTTAAAGACATGTTAAGTGAAAAAGCTAATTACAAAAGATTACATGTTAAATGATTACTTTTATATGCAAGGTGCAAAACAGGCAAATCCACAGAGACATAAAGTAGGCTGGTGGTTGACCAGGGCCGTGGGAGTTGGAAGGAAATGAGGAGTGACTACCATGGAGTATGTTTTTATGGTGATGAAAATGTTCTAAAATTTATATGGTGATGGTTGCACAACTCAATGAATACATTAAAATCCTTTAAATTATACACTTTCAATGGGTAAATTGTATATGATATGTGGACTATCTCAACAACATTGTTCCTTAAAAATTTCATAAACATAAATTATAAAATGTTTCAAACACAAAAAGAATATACTGACTCTGTCTACCCATGACGCAGCTTTAATAAATTTTGCCATATTTGCCTCAGATGTTTACAATAAATTAACCATCGATGTGTACCACTGTCCATCACCCAACCTTCCTTTTCAAAGGTTTGATGTTTATTTAATCATGATATATCTCTTTATATTTTTACCATCTATGTATGTATCTGTAAACAATATATTTTTATGTTTGGAACTTGATATAAATGGGCCTCATACTATATGAATTTTTTATTGAAATATAATTTAGATATAGGAAATTCACAGGTCTTAAATGTATAGTTTGATGAGTTCTGACAAATATATTTCTTTTGTTTTGCACTTTTAGCTTAATATTATAAGGCAATCCAGGTGTGCACAGTTGAACCATTTTGCTGAATGGTAATCCATTATATGGATGTACCACAATCCATATATTCTTCTGATGTTGGACATCCAGGTTTTTTCCAAAATTTTACTATTTTTTAAAAATGTTTCTATGAATGTTCTTGTACATGCAGCTTTCTTGTGGACAATGCAAGTGTGTCTCTGAGATATATACTTAGGAATGAAATTGCTAAACTATAGTATATGCAAATCTTAAACTTTATTAGATACTGCCATATTGTTTTCCAAAGTGGTTATACCAATTTATATTCCCAGTAGCAGTCTACAAGAATTCTTAATTCCTCTATATATCCTTGACCAACCCTTGGTATTGTCAGAGTTTTTAATTTTTGCAAGCATAACAGATGTGAAATTAAACCTCATCATTGTGATTTTAATTTGTATTTCCCTGATTACTACTCAGGCTGAAAACTTTTCTTATATATATTAGCTGTTTGGGCTTCCTCTTCTGTAAATTTTTTCTTCATGTCTATACATTTTATTCAGTGAGATTGTTTACAATAAAACAATTGAAACTATTTAAAGTCTGTTGACTTAAAACCTTATTCCAAAGAGCTATTCTAAATTATGCTCCCAATAGGAGTGATATTTAATAAATATGATGAATGACAACTAACATCTTGGTTTCATCTGTGTTTCTTAAATTACTAGATAGATAGAATGGTTTTCATATGTTAACCATGGTATTTCCTCTACTGTGAACTGCTTATGTCCTCTACTCATTTACATATTGGTGTCACAGTAGGGTTTGAAAAAGTGAACTTGTATTAGCTTTTAAAGTGTAAAGGATATACTATGGGTGCAAAACAAAAATACACATTTTAAGAATGTTATCTATGTATTACTTTTCAAACTGAATTGAATTACGGTAGCAATGTGTAGTATGACATTCACGCAAAAGATGGTGTTAATCAAATGAATGTTACCATATTGTATTACAATTTTAATAGTTTTTTTCCCTTCTTACAATGTGTATACATTTTTTTGGCACCCTCTATACATTTCATCTTATTTGTCTGACTGTCCTAGTCAGCTTTTAAAATTTATTTAACATATAAAGAACTTCAAACTTAAATTACTCAAAATTATTTTCTCCTCTGTGCTTCTTTTTTCCATTTTTTTAAACTTAGGTCTTCTCCTATCCAGTGGTAAAATATTTGTTTCTGGGGCTGGCCGAGTGGCGCGTTGGTTAAGAGCTGGCTTGGGACTCCAGAGGACCCCGGTTCGGATCCCACATATGAGGGCCAGTGACACTGCCCTCTACAGCTAAGATGCTGAACAACAGCTCAACCTGGAGCTGTGCTGCCGTGAGCGGTGTAGGCTGCAGCCCCTGCGGCAGTGGGTTGCCATGGGCTACCGTGTGTGGCCAGCAGCCAGCGTGAGTGGCCAGCAGCCGCCGTGAGCGGCCATCCAGAAGCCGGCGACTGATCTGCTTCACCCGGGAAAAGCGCAATGATGGTGCCAACTTGGGCCAGTGAAGCAACGTCCTCCACAACTAGACTGAAGAACAAAAGGACAGCAACTTGTCTGTTCCCCTTCCCCCAATTCCCCAGCACTGTTCCCATCCCCCAATTCCCCAATAAAAATCTTTAAAAAAAAAAAAATTTGTTTCTGCTTTTTCCCCCATATTATTAAGAAATGTGTGGGGTTCTTATTTTTTTCATCCACTTGGATATTTGTAATAAATATTGTCAAACTGACAGCACACAGCTAACCTACCAGTGCACATGTTTACAAGAGAGAAAGAAAAAGCAGAAACGCTATCAGAGAACTACCTATATTTTAGATTGGAGTGGGGGAAAGGCTTCTTTGCTATTTAAGATACAGACGGGTTTTCTTCAGGGGCAAAAAAATAAAGGGTAACAGGAAAGTACAGAAGCCAGATAATTTGGTCAGAGTTAAGATTATGAGAATTTACTCCCATCTGAAGAATCCAAACATAATAAAAATGACTCGACTTTCAAACTAATGGGAAACAAATTTCATTCCAAAAAGACAAAAATCACATAAACTATATATACTGCAGATCCATAATATATAGTTCATTAAATAGAAACAAAACAGGTATGATGAAAGGTCAAAAAATAAAAAAAAATAAAGGAAAAAGGTAACAACCACAGAAGGGAGGGGGGGAAAACTACAGAAAATATATTAAACAAAAAGACAAATATGAAGTATAGAGTCTCAGTAGCTAAACCTTTTGATTTTACTTATAATTTAAATTGCAAATCTTTCCTTACAGTGTGTTTTAAAACCCAAACTGTTCTTTTTCCTGAAACCGTTACAGGTTCAATTAGGAAAAGCTGTAAACGCAGAGCCTCGGTGGAAAAGGATGGATTATTCTTGGGTTGTAAAATACTCTGGACTCAAAGTAACCATTTACTACAGTAGCCTGAATCCAGGTCTGATACATTTTTGAATTGCCATAATATCTAGTATATTTATTTCATTTAATAAATATCTGTTAAATGGGTATTACTTTAACACTTAAATTAATCCACATTTTCTACTTCTGCTCCAGACTTAAAAATCAAACATAATTTAGTTAAACCAAATTGTGATAAAGAATTTTTATTTCCTAAGCAGTGGAATAAACAAGTCTGCATTGCTTTCCTTATCATTACTACAATGGCTATTAATCTTTCTATTAAATGGGAAAAACCCTAAGCTTTCTGACATAATGATTTATAAAATTACATTTAGGGGGTCTATATCTGAAAAAAATCGAACAGCTTACCTTACTGACACCAACTTCAGGGATTCGGAGAGTATGCTCCATATCTTTTTCTCTGCAGAGTTAAGGAAGCATATATAAATGCAGCAATAGTGACATGGAAAGAATTTTTAAGATTTTGTTTGTTTTATAAAATGTTGTTTAAAAAAAAAGAATAACATTAAAATGCTAGTCTCTCTATCACATTAAGTCCAGTTTCTTTAATCCTACTCTAAATTTCCTATTTTAAAGGAGTTTCCAAAATTACTTTCATTCTTTGGTACATCTATCCCAGGCTAATAAAATTCCAGTGGGACAAAATATCTTTTGTACTAATGTCAATTATTTATCCCAGACTGTTGACTGTGTTCCCATTTCTAGTGCTACATATAAAAGGAGCATACTATTCTCCAAAAATTTAAAATTAGGATGTTGCATAGAATCTGAATTAAGGATAGATAATCTTTCCCATTAGGAAGAAAGAAAATTACCCTACTCGTGATTAAAACCTACCTCTCTAGCGAGCTGGTTATGGACTACAAAGCGGTAAAGGAAAAGAGGCAGAGAAGGAGGCCAATTCTGGGTTTAGGTAAGTAATTTAAACCTAAAAAAGGCAGTAAAAAAGGTAAGAAAATGACAAAAATCTCTGTGGAAGGTATCACCAAGATTTTATCTCTACACAGGCAGTCCCCTTTGGCAACTATGAAGTTATATCCTCAACTGATTTCCAAAAGCAAGTGACAAACGGTAAGTGTCAGTGATATTTTTTGAGTGGGAGAGGGAGGGACATGGATGGCATCCTTTTGCCTATTCAACGAGTACCATACACATTTCATAACTGCTCAAGAAATATACAATCCACCAGAATACAACAAGTATACAAATATAAAAATATTAAACATTTTACCTTCCAATTGTAGCAGGGTTTACAGCTGTAATAATAAAAAGTGAGCCTGTCTGCAACACTGGTGATCTAATAACAATTACTCTAATACATGGCGGCCAAATTTTTTCTTCATCTGCCAGAGAAACAAGTAGGTAAATATTAATTCAAATGCTATGAAAAAAAATTTGAAACGTCTACAGATAGTAGGAGGCATTCATAAAATAAAAATGTATTGATCAAAAATCTTAATTCTGGGGCTGGCCAAGTGGTGCATTGGTTAAGAGCTGGCTTGCGACGCCATCTCTGAGCAGCAGGGCCCCAGTTCAGATCCCACATGATGGCCAGTGATGCTGCGCCCTCTACAGCTAAGATGGTCAACAACAGTTCAACCCGCAGCTGGGCTCCCATGAGGCGATAGCGTAGGCTGCAGCCCCCTGCTGCAGTGGGCTGCAGTGAGCTGTTGTGAGCGGCCGTCCAATGGCCGCCGACCAATCTGCCTCACCCTGGAAGAGCACAATGATCATAATACCAACATGGGCCAGTGAAGTGGCATCCTCCACAACTAGACTGAAGAACAGAAGGACAGCAACTTGTCTGTTCCCCTTCCCCAATTCCCCAATGCTGTTCCCCTCCCCCAATTCCCCAATAAAATCTTTAAAAAAAAAAAAAAGAATAAAATAAGCTCATATACCCTAATATAAAATCCTGGGTTTTAAAAGTATGCCTTTATATTCTCAAGTAAAAAAATATTAGATTTACCCTAATACCTATGTAGCTGAATTCATGGACTACACTTTTTGAAGACAATTTGCGTCTTCCCCCTCAATTATAAAAGTAGATTACAAATACCTAACCCACTAAAACAGACTTAATACATATTTTAGGATTAGAACATAGGTAACTTGGTTTCGTGTTCTACTGACTAGGCCATTCAATGCAATGAAACGTTAAGGTCCAGTATTAGTCACTTATTCACATCCTACTCTCTAAAAATAACCAAGTGGCAGCCCACATAATTTTTAGTAATGTCATTCACATCATCAGCTTAAAATAATCAGTTTACTTTTTGGCAAACATATTATATGAGTTGCTAGCGTCTTTAACTGTGTTGCTCTTTTACAATGACCAGGCTGGGTTATTTCTGCAAAACTGAATAATGGTTATTTCCTCACCTTCATCCTCAGTGTCTTCTGCAGTTACATTGTCTTCACTGGTAATGTCTTCGTCATAACTGTCCTCGGTCTGAGAGTCTGTAATTTCACCTTCTTCTGGCTCGCTATCAGTCTCTATGATTTTCTCATCTTTAAATGAAGTCGAATTGTAGATGTTTTCATTAAGAGGAGATTCTCTAGTCTTTCCGCTAACTGGAACAGTGAATTTAGGGGAACTATTTTTGTAATGAAGGTCTATCTTGGCCTTCTTTTTCACATTTGCAAAATCGTCTCCCTCACTGCAGCTTATATGGTCCACACTGGATGTTTTTTGATCTTCTGAATTCAAATCCTGGAAAGAGGTGGGTGGGGAGGCAGAAACGGGAGAATAATCTTAAATATGACCATCTTATAATGTTTAATGCTAAATGTTTCAATGAATTAGTGAAGATATATATATACAGTGAAATAACAATGGTTACTATCTTTACCCCCTCTTCTGCTCATGTTCCCTTTCTTGGTTAGGAACATTACCATCCACTTATCATCCAAATCAAAAATCTCAGTTATCTTTACATCCCCTTAATCACTACATGAAATCAATTACCAAGCACTATAGACTATGTTTACAGTTTATCCCAATTCTATCTGCTTATCTATTCTCAATGTCCTCAACTGTCTCAGTCCAGACCCTCATTTATCACTTATTGCTTGGACCAGGTGACAGTCTAGACCAATGCTGCCCAATAAAAATATAACGCAAGCCAAATTTATAATTTAAATTTTTCTAATAGCCATATTAAAAAGGTTTTGAAAAGCAGGAGAAATTCATTTTATTATTTTATCTAGCCCAGTATTTACAAAATATCTTCATTTAATATGTATTAACATTTAATCAATACAAAAATTACCAATGAAAGATTTTACATGGGCTTTTTGTACTGTCTTCAAAATTGACAGTAGTTTTTACACTTACAACACATCTTAATTAGGACCAGCTACATTTCCAGTGCTCAATAGCCACACGTAGCTAGTGGCTACCTTATTAGACAGTGCAGACCTAGAGAATACATCTACCCTAAACTTTCTTTGTGAACTTTTAACCAATTATCAAGTCAACACATAAAATACAGAACTGGCATTGATTACAGCAGAGATTTAAAGATCCTAATGTACCTAATGTAGCAGAACAGTAGTTTTGCTAAAATTTAGTACTTTATTGAGTTGGTTTGTTAATACACAACAGTTTAAAGTATCGATGGATCAGTTATACCTCTTATACAAAATTACAACTTACCTGGCATAAGCCTTTTATTATTTATGATACAATTATATTGGGCATGCCTTACAACATATGAACAAATCTATTATGTTAACCTTAGAAGAAGCAGAGAGTTATTTTCCTCTTTTTTCTTTGGTTTGTAGCAAACTAAATTTTCTTTCTACCTTAGAGCCACATGATGAAATGAATTCATTATGTTCTTCTGTTATTTTATAAAATATGAGAGCATCTGAAACTCATATTTTTAATAGCGACATAAATTCAGTTTAGAGACTGGCTAAACACTCACAGTGTGACAAACTATACACACTTCCAGCAATAGAAACTCACCAAGGACAAGAACAAGGGCAAGGAGCTGAACAATCATGAGCTTTAAAGGCCATTGTGAATTATAACAAAAAATTTCCCTATCTACATATACGTTTTAAAAAAGCAGTTTCTAATCTTGTATATCTTATTATTATTACTGCTTGTAAAACATATGCAAAATAAAAATGAGTGAAATTAACAGAAGTGCTTTTTAAAAATTATTTGCCAGTCCAGAATGTTAAATATCCATTAATAGATAAGAAGGGGGCCTACGTGTGGGCACTGAGGCATACATGCATATTTCAAGTTACTTACTCCACTTTGCTCACTCTACTCCTTTCCTTCCACATACTCACCACCTACATAGAGTGAGGCTCAGAGTATCTCAAAAAATAAAGAAAAGGTGAGGATGTCTTAACTGATCTATCAGGCTTCACAGCTATTTTTAAGAATCCTGAAAGAACTCTCGAAATTCCATCAGGAATGTTTCTATAAAGTCCCTGTCCTGGAGTTTACATATTTTCGAAGGACAGTAAAGATGAGTAGTTATAGGAGCTAAACTGAACCAAAATCTCAAAAATGCTTTCAAATTTCATTATCTAGCTTGTCAGGAAGGGCCATCTGATGACCCCTACATGTTCTTTTCTCATTGCTAAGGAATACTTTCACAACCTATCCTGTTAAACAGTTCAACCACTAGTAACAGGTAGGAATCATTAAAACAGCATTCTTGAAAGCAAACAGAAAACCCATTTTTAGTATTTTAGGCACATACTCTTCTATTCCTAGGTATTTTCAGTGAAAATAATAGAGAAATAAAAACAAATCAAATAAAGAATATAAAATAAATCCAACAAAATCTCAATTACATATTTGAACTTTAGTATTATACATTTAAAAGCTTTTTTCTTTGGTTAAGAAGAGAAAAACATGAGGCAGAATTTTAAGAGTAAAGTATCAAATAGTTACCACAATTCACAAAATGCCAAAACAACAAATAAGCCTCCATTCCTGTCTATAAACCACCAACCTTATCCACAGAATGAGTAGAAAAACAGCATTAATAACATTTTTTATATTTTCCTTCTTTCAATTTAACATTATATCATTAGCATTTTTGAAATTCCCTTCAGTCTTTATAACTATCATTTTAAGGCCTAAATAATGCTTTTTCAATTAAATGTATTTTCATTTTCTTAACCAATATCTGTGGGCCATTTGAACTCTTAATTTTTTTCTGCTCTTATAAATATTACTATATAATTATACAAAGGCACTTTTATTTCTTTGGGCTTAAAAAACTAGTAATTACCAGAAACGAGATTTTCCAATTAAAAAAATAGCAACACTTTTAAGGTTATTGATACAAATAGCCAATTTTCCAATAAGATACCAATTTATACCCCTAATAAATATGTACCTACTGTATATTTGCCAGAAATGGATGGGGTTTTTTTTATTTTTGCTAACATAATAGGTAAAAATTGCTCAATATGACTAAGAAAATTGAACTTTTATCACATCTACTTACAAATTGCTTTTATTGTAAATTGTGCATTGACATCAACTCATCAGTTGAGGGTTGGGAAATTCTTCTCCCAAATTATGTAACACTAGAGTATTTTATCTGAACTAAATCTACCTCCTTTAAACTTTTAAGAAATTCCTTTAACTTCTAGTGACTGAGAAAAGTCTGTTTGCCCCATGTGAACGCTTCTTGGTTAATAAATTCTGATATTTTATTATCTTAGTGGACATGTTTAAAATATAGAGTTAGTGAATGATTTTTAGTTTCATCAAAAAATTTTGGCTTAATTATGATACACCATTACATAAATTTAAAAAATGAAGACAATACCTTTTCCTCATTTGTTGTAGAAGAATCTGGATCCTTTCTTCTCTTCTTCAACTTTTTATCTTTACTTTGTTTTGTGCCAGAAGTCTGATAAGGTTGCAGATCTACTCGAGAATGAAATTGATATCGACCACTTTCCACATCACAGTAGTAATAAATTCCAGTGGAAGGGTCATAATACAGTTGATTTTCCTTTCAAAGTCAAGAAAACAGTAAGTTCTATTTATGTAAGATGAAATAAAAAAGAAAAATAATCTTAATAGAAATGTCAAATTTATTCAAATGCAGTGAATGTTTGTTTCTTTTAAGATAATGAATAAAAATATCAGAAAGAAAAATGCTTGTAATTTTCCGAAATACTTTACCATTCCGTATCTGCTCTAATTTCCCTAATGTGAAAAATGAGTACATTTGGGCCGACCGAGTGGAATGTTGGTTAAGAGCTGGCTTGGGACACCAGCTCTGAGCAGCAGAGCCCCAGTTCAGATCCCACATGAGGGCCAGTGACACTGCCCTCTACAGCTACGATGGTGAACAACAGCTCAACCTGGAGATGGGCTGCCATGAGTCACCGGCGACGGCATAGGCTGCAGTTGAGGCTGCAGTGGGCTGCCATAAGCTACTGTGAATGACCGGCAGCCAGCGTGAGCGGCCGGCAGCCAGTGTGAGCTGCCAAGAGCCGCTGTGAGCGGCCGTCCAGAGGCCGGCGACCCATCTGCCTCATCCGGGAAGAGCGCAATAATAATACCAACATGGGCCAGTGAAGCAACATCCTCCACAACTAGACTGAAGAACAAAAGGACAACAACTTGTCTGTTCCCCTTCCCCGATTCCCCAATAAAATCTTAAAAAAATAAAAATAAAAAAAAGAGTACATTTAAATATTAAATTACATCATGAAATTGCCAACATTTGACCATTTTTTAACTTACAGAAACAGCAATTTCATATGGTTCAACTTAATACATTAACAAACAATGATAAATCTTTTAGGAGTTATGAAAACTAAGGTATCCATCACATAATAAAAGCAATTCCAGGCTCATTATCCTTATTACACGATAATGGTTTGGTAGTATAAACCCCCAAATCCTTCTTTCAATGTCATAAAATAAAAATTTTCCTTTTAATGTTCATGACTAAAAGTTCTAAAGAAAAATTTGAAAATAAAGTTAACTTCATAAATACTGCAACATAACATTCTATATAAAGAAATCGATTTTAAAAAATCATCTTCACTAATTCTACAGTAAGTAAAGATGAGTAAAGCAGCCATGCAAAAATGTATTTTAGCAAATTACGGAAAAAAACTAGAAAGATAAAATTATGTAGTCATCTGCATTTATCAGATACTGGCCAGTACTCTATAACCAAGAGTTAACTGAAAGTCTGTTATTTTCTTTTCATCATAAACCCATGCAGATAAGACCTGGAAACATCTTATGATGTGTTGAGGTTCAGCAACTAAAACTTACTGAAAAAGAATAATTTATTTTTCCAATTGTTGATACTATTGCAATTTAATGTCTTTAATCTATTTTGCAGATCTCTTACAAAAAAAATTTTTTTTTTAAATTGGGGAATTGAGGGAGGGGAACAGTGTTGGGGAATTGGGGAGGGGGACCAGCCAAGCCGTTGTTCTTCAATCTTAGTTGTGGAGGGCGCCAGTTGCCATGTGGCTGCCCATCGGCAGCTCATGGCCTGTGTTCCAACTTAGTTGCAGATGGGCATAGCCACCATCCCATGCGGGAGTCAAACCAGCAACCTTGTTGTTAAGAGCGCGTGCTCTATCCACTGGGCCATCCAGGTGGCAGCTAAGCTCAAGGTGCCGAGTTCAGTCTTAGTTGCAGGCGGGCGAAGACCACCATCAAACAGGCAATCTCGTTATGAGCACATAACAGCTCTCACCAGCTGAGCCATCCTGCCACCTGTGGGAAGCTCAGCGGCAGCTCAGCTCGGGCGCAGTGTCACTGGCATGTGGGAATCGAACTAGCGGCCCTGTTGCTCAGAGCTCGTGGTCTTAAGCTAACTCTTAACCAACTGAGCCACTCAGCCGGCCCTTGCAAAAATATTTTAAATTCTGTTTTTCCCTTAACTAAAACTGAATGGAAGCATTCTAATCTTTATTTCTAGTGACAACAGAACTTTTATAATTCAAATCTTTTTAATCTGTTATGTCTTTCAGTCCAAAATATACAGTTTCAAAAATATTTCTTAAATTTTATTTAATTAAAAATGAAAACTGGCACAATAAAAATGGTAAAACAATGAAGTCCCTAACTTACTGAGGCATATAACCTGCAGAATGCAACTAATCAATAACAGATGTCAGAAAGAAAGATACAGAAAGGAAGGTAGAAGAATGACAAAGACTAATGTCATATACTTGGAAACTCTGTATTTTCTTAGAAACCAAACAAGTACTAGCTACTCTCTTTGGTAATAAGAGTTTAAACATTAATTTTCTGAGTATAACTAGCATTGTCAATTAGCATATTCCTATGAAAGAAATCCTTCTCTTTACAAAGGATTTACAAAGTTAACAACAGTTCCAGTAAATGGAGTGATGCTTCACCTTTGGGCACTACATTCTGTAATTCCTGAGGACCAGATCACATGCTGAGACCATTAAGGTTGAGGTATGTGGGTATGTGAGTTCTGTCATCATTGACATCAAATCTTGAATAAAATCAAATTAAGTATAAGACTTCAACAGCCATAACACTGTATTATAATCAAGAACTTAATTTTCTGGTTCTGTCCTAGTCAGTGGTCCATTACATTTCTGATTCCATACGAACTACCTAGTTCTCATTGTTAACAGATTGATTTTAAAAAAGTGAAATGTTTAAAAGTCACAGAATATAGAACACTAATAATAAACATGCTATTGAGAATTCAAGAAAAAGACTCCCTCTGTGGTCTCAAATGGATTCATAAAGTACTTAAAACAAAAAAAAAAATCTTACCCCAAACCTAGAATTAACAATGTGACTTTCTTATAAATGGTATGAAAAAATGTTAGTTTAGTTTCTTAAACATTTTACAACAATGTAGCTAATTGTCTGCTTTTATTAATAAATGCTAACATTTTTGTATGTTACTTTATGTATAAAAGGTTATTAGACCTCTCTAAAATATTAATCTATAATAATCACAATTAACTTATTTAATTAAAAAACCTAGAAGTATAGCATCATAAGCTATTTTATAATTCTTTACTCTTATGAAATAGCTTTCAATCAAACATATTTTTAAACATCGCTTCTTGCTTTTCTTAGTTCAGCTTAGGGTTTAATATTTGGTATCAAGCAGCTAAGTATACAACCACACAGGATTAAAAGGTCTGAAATACTTACAGAATCATAATAGAAACCAGTGCTGTGGTCAAAATACAGTCCAGTATTCTCATCATAACTAAATCCAGTCTGTGATACAGCAGCTTCTGCTGCAGCTCTCAAACTTTCAGCTAGTGATGAACCTTCTAAAGATGTATCTTCTGTTGCTAATGCAGATGCTGGCTCCTACGTAAGACACATTCATGTCAAGTAAGACAAAAACTTCCTTATATCAACTTAAAAGTTAGCAGAATTCGAAACAATAAATAGACTTGAAAGCTATTTTAAATAACAAGACTTTAATTTCTGCAATGAAAGCGGTTTACAATTTGATCCATTTAAAAAAATATTTACTAGTATATAAGTTAATTCAATTTTAACCCAATTTTGAAGACACTAGAAGTGAGTGACTATTACTCAAAAATAAATGCACAATACCATAGGGAAGCAATCCACAAAATACAGATTCTAAAGTATTCCTTAAGGCAAACGATCTAGATTCTTCAATAATTATAAGTCCTAAGGGAAAGTATTTTTGAAGAGACATGGAAGAAAAAGCTATAGATTATATGAGATATATTACAATATCAAGCAGTTGCACTGTATGAACGTTACTGGGATCCTGATTCAAACAAACTGTAGAAACAAATTTATAAAACATTCAGGGAAATCTGAACAGTGGCTGGATATATGCCATAAAGAAACGACTAAATATTTTTGGTGTGAACATGGGTATTGCAGTAGTTGTCCATAATTTTTTGGCTGAATCAAAAGATATTGACAAATTTTCTTTTAGTTTATTTACATCATTAAGTTTTGGAAACATAAGAGAGTAGGAAATAATTACACATACGAACAGGTTCTAATATTTCTCAAAAACTGTACTAGTTACTGTATAATTATATGCAGAATATTTACAACCCTGGTATACATTGTGATGGACCAAAGAAGTCAATTTGTCTGCATATTAACAATAACGAAGGATAAGTTCTTGGGCATCAACAGTTTCATGTTAAGCATTTTATTACCTGTGAATTTGAGGCAAAATGGTCCTCTTGTCCACATTCAACCTTTTCCGTTATATCAGTACCAGTGTAAGTATCACTTTCTATTTGTGACTGGTCTTTAGAATTGCAAGTAGAAGCTTTGATATCCTGATCTTGATGAACAGAGAGTTCAGTCACTTTATTTGGAAGACTAATATCCTTATAGTATGTCTGATAATAATAGTCTGTAGAAAAAACAAATTAAGTGATATATTAGAAAAGTGTATACAAAAAGGACTTAACTCCAAAACATTGGCAATGAACATAAATCAGCACACATTACAGACAAATCATATTTTTAGAGCCGGCTGTGTGGCTCAGTTGGTTAAGAGTATGCTCAAAAGTGTGAGCTCTGAGCAACAGGGTCGCCAGTTTGATTCCTTCATGGACCAGTGAGCTGCACCCAAGCTGAGCTGCCACTGAGCTGCCAAACAGTGGCAGGATGGCTCCGCTGGTGAGAGCACGTGCTCCTAACAACAAGGTTGCCTGTTCAAGATGGACTAAGACTGAACTTGGCACCTTGGGCTGAGCTGCCACCCAGGTGACTCAGTGGATACAGCAGGCACTCTTAACAACGAGGCTGCTGGTTCGACTCCTGCATGGGATGGCAGCTACGCTCACCCGCAACTAATTGAACACAGCACCTTCAGCTGATTGGCGTGACTGGACTTGGAGCTGAGCTTGCTGCACCCTCCACAACTAAGGCTGAAGGACAACAATTTGGCTGTTCCCCCTCCCCAATTCCCAAACACTGTTCCCCTCACCCAATTCCCCAACACTGTTCCCTTCACCCAATTCCTCAATAAAAATCTTTTTAAAAACATCGTATTTTTACAATTGTATATACATTTTAACAAATTAAAATTGATGTTGCAGATAAATCAACAGATGCATATATCTTTGATTCTAATGTCACTTCCAGTACCCTAGCTATCAAGCTAAAAAGGAAAAAAAGAAAACCAGTAAGCAGATTTGGATTTTCCAAAGCAAGAGTAAAAAAGAAAACAGGTAGATAAGTTGTGTTCTGTCCAAAAAAAAAGTAACTCTAAATAATTTTTAACCATATACCTTAATATCATTGCATATCAAATGACAAAGGAATAAAGACAACATGTCAAGGGTTGATTTTTCTGTCAAATTTTTCTCACAATGCTGACTTTTTAAAAAAATGTACTATCATACAGATATGTAATGTTAATACTATTGCTGTGTTTAGCAATTTAGCTAAATTATGTATTGGGTTGTTGGAAAAGTCATGCCGTATATTGTCTGTTTTTCAAAGGTCATTTATTTATATAAAGAACAAAGATCAATCAATGATATATTGCCTGTTTTGTTCGATAACCTTTTGCCATCTTTCAGTGAGCTTCATAATCCTCGTTCATAGAAGGATCTGTCTCCATTTGCAAAAAACTGAACAAGGTGCTGATTTACAGCCTCATCTGAATTGAACGTTATACCACGCAAGGAGTTTTAAAGAGAGTGAAACAAGTGGAAGTCTGACAGTACAAGGTCAGGCGAGTATGGCGGGTGTGGCAACACTTCCCATCCAAGCTCCAATAATTTTTGATAGGTGATCAAACTTGTGTGTGGTCTTGCGTTGTTGCGATGGAACACAACTCCTTCACAATAAACAAGCTCTGGACGTTTCTGGATGATGGACTCGTTCAAACTGTCCAATTGCCGACAGTACACATTAGAATCGATTGTTTGGTTCCTTGGTAGGAGCTCGAAAACCATGACACCTTTAAAATTCCACCACACTGAGAGCATAACCTTCCTCTGATGAATGTCTGCTTCCGATGTTGTTTGAGGAGAATCATCATGTTGGGACCAAGACCGTTTGCGCACCACATTATTGTAAACAATACACTTCATATCACCAGTTAACAGTCGCTTCAAAAAAGGATCGTTTTCCTCACGTTTAATGAGCATATTGCAGATGTTTATACGCACCGTCAAATGAACTTCTTTGAGTTCATGCGGAACCCAAATATGGAGCTTGCTTACGTATCCCAGCTTCTTTAGGTGGTGGTGAACGCTTGAATGATGGATGTTCAATGTTTCTGCAATCTCTCGTGTCGTGTAACATGGGTTTGACTCGATCAATGCCTTTATTTTGTCATCATCAACCTTGGTGGGCCTCCCTGACCGAGGAGCATCGTTGAGATCAAAATCACCAGCACGGAATTTTGTGAACCATTGTTGGCATTGATGTTCTTGTAGAGCACTGTCACCGTAAATTTTATGCAACTTTTCACAAACTTGATGCACATTCTTCCCTTTATGAAAGTAAAACTATAAAATATGGCAAAAATGCACAGTTTGGTCTTCCATCTTCAACTTGTAAAACCTCCAAAACTCAACCAAATCGCTCAATTTTTTTTAGAATGAAGCTAGAACTGTCAGCTGTCAAATGACATAGCAATAACATAGATGTGAATGACTCTAGTATTTCCAAAACTGAAGTAGTGCCATCTGTTGCAAACATGCATCATGACTTTTCTGACAACCCAATACTAAATAAAACAAGGCAAAACGTAATGGGAAAGATCATTTCTTGTGATGCCTACTTATTAAAACTCAGTTGCTCAATTATTTTACCTGACAACATAATGCCACTGATGAGGTAATGGTTGTGAGCTCAAATTCCCACAAAGACCTATGAGAGTGGCACTGAACACAATGCTAAGCGGAATGCATCAAAAAGAAAACATACGTCCTACACAATATCAAAACTACAACTAAACACTACAGAACAACAATCACTCAAAATCGCCTGAAGTGTAGCTGAAGAGTAGTACAACTAAGGATATACAGAAGTCATGTCGAGACTAGTAGGAGGGGTGGAGACGTGGAACAGGCTGGTCCCACACCCACGTGTGGTGGTTAAAAATCAGGAGGGATTATCTCAGTTGTGGATATCACCCCTGAGAAACAAAGGGTCCCAGCCCCACACCAGGTTCCCCAGCCCAGGATTCCAATCCTGGGAAGAGAAGTCTCCATAACTTCTGGCTGAGAAAACCAGTGGGGATTGTGGCTGAAAGAGACAGAGGGCTGCTGGAGTTCCAGGGTCTGCGCATCGACTTACTCACTGATGGGCTCACTCATTCTGAGTTCCAGTGCTGGGGCAGCAGCTCGAAAGGCACCAGGGACAAATGAGGAGGAGCTGAATTGTATGGCTTCAGGACAAGGGCTGGGGGCAGCTTTCTCCCAGACAGAAGTGCTGGCAGAAGCCATTCTTCCTTTGTTGATCCCTCCCTCCCCCCCACCCAGCCTGCACATGCAGGCCAGCACCACATCTGAGTCTCCATCAACCTGGCTAACACTATTCACCCTGTCCTGGTGATTCCCTGAGACCCTGCCCCACACAACTACTGGGCCCACCCAAGCTGCTCCCAGTGGCTTTTCCATATAAACGGCCTGCCTTGAAACACACTACAGACTTTCCTGAACTCTATCAAAGGTTTAAAAAACCTCAAACAAGCAGCATCTGGCCTCAGGATAGCCCATTCCTCTTGCTAAGCAGCCCCAAGCCTGGCATTAGCAGCAGCTGACCTCAGTTCACAGCTTAGCCTCTGCCAGGCACCTCCAAGCCCAGCACAAGTGGCAACCATCTACAGATCACTTAGTAGCTCATACCAAGTGGCCCTGGGCAAGGCACAGGCAGTGGCTGATGTTGGCCTGCACCAGAGCCCCTCCCAAGAGGCCCTTAGAACCAAAACACCCCATGGTCAGCTTCAAACCACACCAGAGCACCATCCAACCACCTCAACAAACGACACACCCAAAGGGCAGAACTGGCAGGCACCAGAGCCCCAATAAAGTGAATCCTGCTCCATGGAGTCAACCCAGCACAACAGCAGCTCCTCCACTGTAGTCACAGCCAGTCCTCACAACCAATCAGCCTGGGGGTCAATCCCTCCAAATGACGTACAAACAGCAATCAAGGCTCAACTGTAACAGGAAGGTACACACTACCCACACAAGGAACAAACCTGCAGCACCCGGTTCAGGTGGCCAGGGAGACTGCGCCACTGAGCTCCACAGGACACCTACTAAATAAGGCCATTCTATCAAGGCAGGAGACATAGCAGCTCTACCTAATACACAGAAACAAACACTGGGAGGAAGCCAAAATGAGGAGACAAATATGTCCCAAATGAAAGAACAGGACAAAAGTCCAGAAAAAGAACTAAACAAAATGGCAACAAGCCAATCTACCAGATTCAGTGTTCAAAACACTGGTTAGAAGGATGCTCAATGATCTCAGTGAGAACTTCAACAAAGAGATAGGAAACATAATAATGGAGAGAAAAAAGAACCAGTCAGAAATGAAGAATACAATAACTGAAATGAAGAATACATTAGAGGGAATCAACAGGTTAGATGAAGTAGAGGATCGAATAAGCAATTTGGAAAAAAGGTGGCAGGAAACACCCTATCAGAGCAGCAAAAAAAAAGAATCCAAAAAATTGAGGATAGTTTAAGGGGCCTCTGGGACAACATCGAGCTTACTAACATTCACATCATAGGGGTACAGAAGGAGAAGAGAGCAAGGAATTGAAAACCTATTTGAATAAATAATGACTGAAAACTTCCCTAACCTGGTGAAGGAAAAGGACATACAAGTCCAACAAGCACAGTGTACCAAACAAGATGAACCCAAAGAGAACGATACACCATAATTAAAATGCCAAAGTTTAAAGACAAAGACAGAATCTTAAAAGCAGCAAGAGAAAAGCAGTTAGTTGCCTACAAGGGAACTCCCATAAGATTGTCAGCTGACTTTTCAACAGAAACATTGCAGACCAAAAGGAACTGTCACAAAATCAAAGTGATGAAAAGCAAGAACCTACAACCAAGATTGCTCTACCCAGCAAAGCTATCATTTAGACTTGAAGGACAGATAAAGAGCTTCCCAGACAAGAAAAAGCTAAAGGAGTTCATTATCACCAAGCCAGTGTTACAAGAAATGTTAAAGGGACTTCTTTAAGAAGAAAAAAAATCAAAAATATGAATAATAAAATGGCAATAACTACATAGCTAACAAAAATTAGTTTAAATGTAAGTGGATTAAATGCTCCAATGAAAAGACATAGGGTGGCTGAATGGCTAAGAAAATAAGACCCTTACATATGCTGCCTACAAGAGACTCACTTCAGATCGAAAGACACACAGAGACTGAAAGTAAAGGGTAGCAATACTTATACCAGACAAGATAGACTTTAGAACAAAAGCTATAACGAAGGACCCAGTAATTCCACTTCTGGGTATTTATCCAAAGGAACCCAAAACACTAATTTGAAAAGACATATGCATCCATATGTTCATTGCAGCATTATTTACAATAGCCAAGATATGGAAACAACCTAAGTGTCCATGGATAAAGAAGCAGTGGTACATATATACCATGGAATATTACTCAGCCATAAAAAAAGAATGAAATTTTGCCATCTGCAACAATATGGATGGAACTAGAGGGTATCATGCTAGGTGAAGTAAGTCAGACAGAGAAAGACAGACACCCTATGATTTCGCTTATACTATGTGGAATCTAAAAAACAAAATAAATGAATAAACAAAACAGAAACTCATAGATACAGAGAACCTTTTGATGGTTGCCAGATGGGAGGGGGAGGGGGAATGGGTGAGAAAGGGGAAATGATTAAGAGGTACAAATTGGTAGTTACAAAATAGTCATGGACATGTAAAGTATAGCATAGGGAGTATAGTCAATAATATTGTAATAACTACGAATGGTGTCTGATGGGTACTAGATATACCAAGGTGATCACGTCAAAGAGTTATATAACTGTCTAATCACTATGTTGTACACCTGAAACCTAATATTGTATTATTGTATGTCAACTGTAATTGAAAAATAGAACTCTAGGTGGTGAACACACAATGTGATATATAGATGATATATTACAGAACTGTACATTTGAAATCTATGTAACTTTACTAACCATTGTCACCCTAATAAACTTTAATTTTAAAAAAAAGAAAGAAAAACAAAAAATTATTTTTTTATAAATAATGGACCATTTCAATTTAAAAAAAGGAAAAGAAAACATATGCCCCTGGTCACAAGGAAGACCAGATATGAGTAGATAGATGGCTCACAGCATGACAAACATTATTCAGTAAATGTGCCACTGAAAACATAGTAGCAATAATACTATGTATTTATAGGAATAACAATACATTTGTACTTTCCCCTCCAAAGAGCAAATAGAGTATCTGAAAATACCTAATCATCTAAAGACAAGACAACATGATAACAATTCTCCTTTATCCAGATGTTTGTCTGTTTTAAATTGAAAGACAACTCCATGTTAACATGATTTGAATGTGATAGTATTAGGATATCTCCACTATCAACTGAATACCTGAGATTGACCAAGGCGGGTGGTTCTCTGTTTGTACTTCTACATCAGACTTTTTACTATCTTCATTTCTCCCACAATGGAGTATTTTACTGAGCTCTTCTACCTGAAAGAAAACAAGGCTTTAGGAAAAACAAATCATATAGCAATCTAGTAATATACACACCATTCTCCTGAAGTTACAATAATTCTTTTTCTTGGTAAAATTTTTAGAGAAGTACCAATAACAGCTAGTTTCCTTTTCATGAAAACTAAAAACCCTATAATTGGCTTTCTTTCACCTTTTACATTTTTATATTTACACTCTTGCTAAACCTCAAAATATCCCCTTCGAAAATCAGATTGACCAAATAGGACTTTGTGAACAGGATGCTTTATTTCTAATAAATAAGAATGTTTTTATACTAATATTTTAATCAGTCAGCAGTTCTCCCTAAAGAATTAGAAAAAAATTAATTCCCATTTGTTAAATTATTTAGTATCATTCAATGTCATCCACCTGGAATTATTCACTTAAATATACTAATGCCACTCATAAACTTTAATATACTTTTTTTCTTTAGTAGTCTCATGACTACATAACTGCAGCAGTAGAAAATAGAGGGGACTGCCTTAGAAGGGCATCTATCCTCCCTGTGCCTCAATGAATGCCAAATCCAGAACAGACAGTGGAACTACCCAAAAGCAGATGAGAACCGGCCTCAGTCAGACAGGACCTCAGTGTGACACTTAACTAAAAAACAAGCTTCTAAATATTTCTTTAATGATACATAGAGCTTAAAAGGAGAAAGATGGTAAGGCTGATTATAGATTATCTCGGCACTTCACAAGTTATCAGATCTGCTGGTACAACCAGGGCTGGAACTAGGGTGAAGCCAACAAGGTACCTAGGGAACAAACTTAAGGAAGCACTCAGTCTCAGCTTCCTCCAAGTACAGGGTCAATACATGAGAATGAGTAGCCCCTTAAATTTTTCACCCTAGACTACTGATTTGCCTTGCCCTAGTGCTGACTCTGCTACTAAACACTATTCGCGTGAACTAGATAATTTATTTAGTATCTGCTACCTGCTAGGCACTATACTTGGTACTTATTAATTCTTAAAACCACCTTACAAATTAGTTGTCCTAATCCCTTTTACATGTGAGAAATCGGAAAGAGATCAGGTTTTTAAGCACAATGCTTTTTTGCCTCCAAAACCTACACATCTTTTTGTTTTTCTAACAGTTCACCCTCAACTCTCTACCCAATTTTTTTACTGCTCCAGATAAAACACTATTTAGTAATTCCATGTGACAGTTAACAACCAAACTCCACCCACCACCATGGGAGGCTGACTAGAAGGGTAAGGAATTATTATTATCACCAGTGGAGTCAACGTTTTCTATGCATTTCAATTTTCCATGTTAGACCACTATTAATTTTACTAATAACCAAAATGCTGGCTCTTCAAAGATTAGCAAAATGTTTTCTTTGAGAATCTTGATAGCAAGTACTTGAACAATCAGGGCATTATAAAAGGGTGTTTTAAAAGGCTATAACATTTTGCTCCCTTTCCCCCAAAATACTTTACCAATATTTGTAGTCTCCTAACAATCCGTATACATTGTAGGTATTCAAGAACTACTGAGTCAACAAACTCAAATTTTCTGTAACTCTATACAATGGGCACACCAAGTCATTGCAGCTCATCAGATATTTTCATTGATCATTTGAGAAAGGCCTAACCAAGTTTGATGATGTCTTAGGGTCCGACCTATATATGTGGTTTTAGGAAAGGTACCAATATATTACAAAGGACTACACAACAGTTGAATTGAAATTAATAATTACGTGGAAATTAACATGTCAGGAGACAGTGTAACTGTCCAACAAATCAAGTTGGAAAAAAAGTATTATGCTCCTATTTACAAGTTTAAAAAAAAGAGTTTAAATATTTGTCCTTACTGTATTTGATAAAAATGTACTTAGCTGCTTAGTGTCTCTAACGAAGGAAGTTATATCTTCCCTACTTCCACCAGAATACTCAAGATGATAAACGCCCAGAATAACCTTACACTGTGTCCAACAGTTTGTAAAACTGTAAAAGTATGTTCACATTTAATCTAATTTAACCTTCACCTATGTGGTACTAGCATTCTCATTTTATGGGCAGCAGAGGCTCAGTATCAGTTCACACGTCTAGCGAGTCAAAGATGGGATTCTGATTCAAGTCCAGCGTTTTAACAAACTCAAAAGTGACCTAGAAATATTATAAACGTGCCTACTGCCAATGGGACGTTACAAGTGAGAATGAAGACAGTCTAAAGTACTGAAGGAAGTTCAGTTCACACCAGTCGTAACTTCTGCTCTCCCATTTATCTAAATCGAGTAACACGAACTCTTAGGCGTGCTCCAAATGTACTTGGAATTATAATCGCAAACTGAACTTTTACTTCTTTCAAGTACTCTATAAACTATAGAGTAGCTCTGGGCCCCTGCCAGGGAGCCCTTCCGAGACTATCAGAGGCTTCGAAGGCCTCGTCCTGAGCTGGACGGGGCGCGGGGCTGCAAGGAGGCGAACCGCGCACCTGGGTGCGGAGCTCCTGGTTGTTGCTCTCGGCGCTCTGGTACAGACGCTCCGTGTGGTGCAGCAGCTTCTCGATCTCCCGCACCTGCCGCTTGCAGCTCCGCAGCTCGCGTTCCAACTTCTCCACCTTCCGCCTCAAGTGGGCCAGTTCAGGCTCGGGAGAGGTGGGTGGCGATGGTGACAACGAAGAAGACGGCGCCTCGGAAGCCATGGGGTCCGGCGCGAGGCGGCCCGTGGGCGTGGAGGGACTGCGCTCAGACTGAGGCGGACGCAGGCGGGCCCAGAAGCCCCGGGAGCGCGCGGGCAGCGAAAGGCGGTCTCATACCCGCCCGGCCGCGGCGGCCCCTGGCCATGACGCCCAGAAGCTCACTGCCTGTAGCCAGAGGAACTGCGGACAACGGGCAAGGGGAAGGCGCCCCGCCCAATCGGCCCGGCTTTGAAACAGAAAAACTTTATTGGTAACTACCTTCCCCAGCGACTGAGACAACCGCAGGAGCGCGGCAGAAGTGGGAGGGCCAGAGAAGTCGGGCCCCGAAACGCTCGGGCTGTTCCTGCACCGTACCGGAAACAATGGCGTCGGCTGTGGGTGGGGCTGAGGCCGAAAGGGAAGCGACGGGAAGCGGGAAAGGCCTCACCGCGCACATGCGCACTTCCCGGCGGCTGAGTGGGTCCTGTGCGTGAGGGTCCTGTGTCGGAAAGTGGCCACCGCAGCGTTGGAGTGATGGAGACGGTCACAGCCTCTGGTCTCAGGCTTGTGCCCTTACGGAGCGTTCTGCGTGACATCCTTCACAATTGATTTTGGTTTTGTAATATTTTTTCTTAGTTATTATTTTGTACCTCGGATTGTAATCGTACTCCTTAGTTCAGAGCACATCAACACTGGCCCATGGACAGCTCTTCTGTTCGGGGTGTTTGGTTTGGTTTGGTTTGCTTCGGTTTTTGTTGATTGTGGCTCGATGACATCCCCAATCCTCAGTTCCATTGCCTCCTTTCTGTCAATACGGGCACCTGCTCTCACGTGTCTGATACATGTCCTTAAATATAAATCCTTATAAAATATGTTTCAGGTATATTTCTTTTATGTAAACAGTATTGGGTTAAAAGATGTTTTTAAAATTTATATATATTGCTATATATAAATCCGAGTGCTGTGTAGTATTCCAGGTATATGTATTTATTTCATATGTTTCATGATTTGGGCTTTTGAATCTTATTCATGAGTCTTCCCACCCTGAGTCATATTTTTTCTTTAACTTTATAATTTTAACTTTCACATTTCTCTATTCCAACTGAGAGTTTCAGATGTATTTTTCCACATAATGACCTAGTTTTCTTAAGACCATCTCCTTTACATTGCTTTGAAGTACCACCTTTAGCATACACACACACACATATATGTGTGTATATATATATATATATATATATATATATATATATACAAATATATATATATGAACTGCTTGAGCAACTACTGCTTGAGCAACGTTGACCAAAGTGTCCACTTGTATACATTTTTTGGCACCCCCAGTATATAGTATATACACACACATATAAAGGGGTACCAAAAAAATGTATACACATTTTAAGCGATGTTATCTATGTATTACTTAGTAGTTCACTGTAATCAGAAGTGTCTGGACGCTGATGGTAACCACTTTGAGCGCCTCTTGTAATTGCAAAAGTCAAATGTGAGTTGTATTCATCCTTTGTTATCAGTATATATTGAATATTAAATTTTAATACAGTTTCCTTTCTTAAAATGTGTATGCATTTTTTTGGCACCCTCTGTATATAGGTCTGTTGTTTCTTAGTGCTCTAGTCTGGTCTGTTTGTATATCAGTCTTCCTGTGCAGAACCATTGTATTTTCATCACTTTGGTTTTGTAACATGTCTTAATATCTGGCAGAGCAAGTTCTCACTCTGCTCTTATTTTTCAGAATTGACTTATTCATGAACCTCTATTTTCCTGTATAAATGTTAGAATTAGTTTGTTGAGTTCCACGAACAATTCAATGGAATTTTTATTACAATTGCATTGAATATATAGATTTATTTGGGGAGAATTAACATAAAATTTTACAATGTTAAGATATACCATGCACATACAATCTTTTTTTTTCTGCATTTATTCATTCTTTTTTGTACTTTAATAGAGTTTTAGTACTTCTTCTGAAAGAGGTCTTGGGCATTCTTTCTAAGGTTATTTCTGAGGCACTCCATAGTTTTATTGTGAATGAAGTAATGTTTTCTAGTATATTTGACAGAGAAAGAAAAGTTGAAGTGATGGATAGGTTTCTAGTTTGGTCAAAGGAGGTAAGGACTATCGGAGAAGAAAATGTGGATAGGGGAGGGAGGGATGTTTTAGTTTTGATTTTGTTGATAATATTTAATTTGAGGTGGCTATAAGACATGCGTTACAGATGCTAAGTAAGTAATGAGCATTCCAGAAGCCCATCTGAAACTTAAACAGAACTAGCAGAATTAATACTGTGTTAAGAGCCACAAATGGCCCTGTGGGCTAAGGAGATAAAGTAAATGAATGGATAGAGCAGTGAGCAGCCACTACTGAGCTCTGGAGAACTGGGGAACCATGTGGGAATGTGGACCCACTATTGCGGAACTTCTGATCTTTCAAGAAAAGCCAGAAATTTGGATTTTTATGTGAAATCTCTCTGTTTAAAAACAATGGTTCAAATTAGAAAGATAACTTCTGTGATAGCATCATTATACCCTCTTCACTATACACATGTGCTTCAGGTACTGCTCCAGTATCTTCTCATTTTTACCATCACTGCCACTGCTGTCTTTGCCCCTCACGTCCCGTCTTTGTTTTCTAACTTGTCTCTTTCTTTTCCTCTCTCTTTGCCCTTGATTTTATGATTTTATTTGAAAGAGTTTCCCTCTCTCTCTCTATATATATATGTGTGTGTGTGTGTGTGTGTGTGTGTGTGTGTGTGTGTGTGTGTGTGTAGTTTATTTATCACTAATCAATAATAGAGATATTTCCTTCCAGGCAATGAATTAACTAAACCCTATGGCTAATTTAATTGTCAGTCCTTGGGTTATTATATCTAGTAGATGCTGTGGAGATCACTAATGACCTCGATTCTTTATCTACCCTGTATCCACATCCTTTGCCATGTGACTTTGTGGTCCCCTTCACTAAAGAGGCAGAATCTCTCCCCCGCCTTTGAATCTGGGTTTGGCCATGTGATTGGCTTTGGCCAGTTGAGTTGCCAGAAGAGTGGACCAGTTCCTACACTAGGTCTCAAGAGGCCTTAGTATTTATGCTTGCTTTCTTGGATTCCTGCCATTTCCATAAGAAGGACATACCCAGGCATGTCTGCTGGTCTCAGAAAGAGGATAAATGACACATGGAACACGTGTGTTAGCTGTGTATCTTCTAGGTAAGATATGCCAGCTAAGCCAGCCTAGAGCAGAGGCCCCAGGAAACCCTCAGACAGTTAGCAATCCCAATGGAGATCAGCCAGCCCCCCATCTCACCCAGGCTTGGGAGACATAATAAATGATGTTTGTTGGAAGCCACTGAGTTTGGGGGTATTTTGTATGTAGCAATAACTAACTGATACTCAACTTGATCTAGAGCCATTCCAGGAAACTGTGCGTTTCAGGCTGGAGTCCAAGAATCTAATATATTACTATATTCCATAACAGAGCAATGTTGTCAATTAAATAAAACCTGATTTATATCCAATTTCTTTTAGAGTATCATCAATTTTATGTTTAATGAACATTCACCTGTCATAATTTATGGTGGATACAATGGGTAGCCAATGCTCTCCAATCTGATCCCACTGTTTGATGTCACACAAGAATATCTGGGGAGCCATAGCATTTCAATAGTTCTGATTTATTGCTCCATATTACTTTGGGTCAATTGACCATTACCTGTTCCCTCCCCCTGGAGGCCCAAGGAAAGAATGAGTGGAGGATACTAAAATGTATCCTCCAGTGTAATACTAAAACACTGGATTGATAGTAAAGGAAGGAAGCCAAAGGAAACTAGGCAGGTCCCTCTTCCCTACCCCCAACTGAATACTTACATTTTGCGCCTTCATTTTATGATTCTATAATGAGTAAAAAATTTCTATGGTATTGTAAATTTTCCCATTCTCTTTCATTCATGAGAATGTCTCCATCACCTGCACCAGGGCACGCTGATAATTCCCCCTCTCCCCCTTGGGGTCCATGAGGACAGCATCCTCCCCTACTGATGGCCTAAGAGAACTTGCAGACCATTCCCTCTCCCTGACTTTGTTGCCCAGTGCATACAATACTCCCAAGATACCCATTGAACCCATAAGAGAGAGAAAACTGATGGGGATCTGGATGTGACCCCCAGTGGAGTGAGTGTAGGGAACATGTCACATTTATACTTGGGGTGGGGGTTGCTGAATGAATCCATCTTGATGCTGGAGGAGTCTTCTCTTTCCCTCCCTTCCCTTTTCTCCCCAAGATAGAGCAATAGTTCTTGACAGTTCTCTTGTAATAATAAAATTACCTAAGAATATAAGGAAGAATTAACCAAAGGAAACATTAGTAGAATGCCAGGAATACATATTTACCTTCCCGTTTCAAGGAAGGGCCTGGACGTGATACGATTGCTGATTGAAATACATGTACTTCTCACTTTGTTCATGAAGATTTAGTGTGAGATTACAATGAATGAAGATTTAATCACCAAAGTAATGGTATTAATTTGTTGAAACAGTCTCCTGAAGAAAAAGGACAAAATGTTTTTGAGTCTAATGACTTCTTTATTTCAACATGTTTATTAAACATAGTCATAGTATTTCATTTGGAATCAAATATATCTATTAAATAATTATAAACAAATTAAGGTTCATCTGAATATATGCCAAAAACCTAGAAGACAAAGACAAAGTTGGGTGCTTATGTAGCTCATTAGGGTTACAGAAGACATCAAATAGTATAGAATTAACTTGGGAAGTTAGTGAAATGGTTTAATGCAACCGGGACGTGTGGGGGAATAAAATAACTTTTAGATAGAGACATATTAACTATATCTCAGCTTTGCTGCACATAGTAAGTCTTCAATTAATGTTGTGGATTGATTTCTTGGAAACTGCAACTTTAAGAGAAACGACATATAATGAAATTAATTTTACCATAGGCTAATTGATAACAGAGTTACGTTCCGATGGCATATTTCTGGTCATAAAAACACCAAACTCCAAAATAAAGATCCAAAACACTTCTAACATTAAACATTGAAATAAATGTGAGCTAGACATACATTTAAGAAGGATTAATAAAAACAGGTAAGATAATGAGTTTCCAACCTGCTTATCCCGGTTAAGGGTCTCAGGTGGGCAGCGCCCATTCTGGCAACTCAGGGCCAAGGTAGGAACCCACCCAGGACTGGATGCCCTTCCATCGCAGGGCACACTCACACCCACACTCACTCAGACTGGGGCCATTGAAATACCAATTCACCTTGTGCACATCTTTGGGTTGTGAGAGAAAACTGGAGTCCCCAGAGAAACCCACACCGACGTGGGGAGAATGTGCAAACTCCACACAGACAGTGGTCCCAGCCAGCAATCAATTTTTTTTCTCATTAACATTATAACAAAACAATACTGAATGAAATAATATTATTTGAGGACCTGTTGTGCTAACTGTGTGACTTTGGGCAAGTTCCTTAAGCATCTGTGTCTCAGTTTCCTCATCTATAAAGTGGAGACTAAATAATAGTACCTTCACATAGAATGGTGAAAAGATGAAAACCAATAATGTGTGTAAAGTGCTAAATTTAGAACCTTGCACATGGTTAAGTTTGTAGTGAATATTAATTATTATTATTGTTATATCTAATAAAAGCTTGCATAGAGCTTGCTGTGTGCCAGGCATTGTACTAATTACATTACAAAATAATTTATGTGTTATGCACTATTTTAAGCACTGTGCAGATATTAACTCCTTTAATTCTCATCACAATCCTGTGGGATAGGTACTATTATTACCATTATCACTTCCATTTTACAGATGAGG